AAAGAAAACTAATTATTGTTTTTGTAGTCTGCATCCAATTTAAAATGATACTTTAAGAACTTAAATGATTACTGACTGCAGGTGCACTAATTTGGCACTGTTTAGAATATCTTTCGATCACTTCAAGCAAAGCTTAACTTAATAACTGGGTTTGCAGCAAAATATAGGGAGAATAAGCATAATTGTGTATAATTAACACATGGTTTTAGAAATTTGCATTTGTATTTAAGGATGTTATATATTTAGAAGTAATGTTAAGTCATGTAGTAACTATTTTGTACATGATACTTAGCTATCTATTGTTCACTCACCACATATAGTAGTTGTATATTCATGTAAATTTGTCCTCAATAAATTACAAATTACTATCCTGGTGAAATTAAGTACATTGAAGCAATCTGTGTTTCTGTCGATTGTCAAGGACATGTTCACATTGTTTCAATGGCTTAATATTTAATGATTTTTGTGGACTTGAGTTTAAAGGATTGTAAAAATCTAAATTTTCTTCTGAAGAGAGTAATGAAGGAACCCTTCTCTAGCAAGGCACTTTTTATAAGTCACACATCTTGTAATAACTGGTCGTCTACTGCAGAACCCCTGCTTCAGTTAATGACTGTCAGGCCGCAGCTTCTGCTTTGGAGATGTTTTGGATTTTTTAGTTGGTGACCAGTCTGGGGAAAGGAAAGAGCTCAGTCCTCCAATTGCTGAACAACCTCTGGTTGTGAATCCAATATGGTGCTTGGACTGTATTCCAGTCTGATCCCTAAATATCAATATGATGACCACTGGAAGAATTCTCAATACTGTATTTCCCATTGGCCAAGATCCTGGGGACATTTGCTTGTGTTTGTGCACCAGATGTCAGACTGACAGCTTCCTGAACATTCCACACCTTATCATTTTTTTGCTTACAAGACCTAAGATTTCTTGGCCAAAAGTATTTTGTTTTTTTTTCATCCAAAATGAACCTCTGCAGAGTGAAATCTGTTTTCCTTTCTGCCTGGTGTGTGTGTGTGCATGTGTGAGTGTTAATTTGCGTTCATGTTTTGGGTTATTTAGAGAAGTTAAGATTTATATAATAAATGTAAACATTTTAGTACATTTTTAAACATTTTTATATTACAACATAACTGTGTTAAGCAGTTTTGCATCATCATTGAAAAAGTTTGTTTACAATAAAACACTAGTTTTGTGTTTATTGAGGAAACCTAGTTGATGGATGTTTTAGTTTTAAATCTATTATAGAGAAAGCACATGATAGGCCATATTGGGAACCAGGTAAAACAATTAAATTCGTGTTGTAACACGTGGACTGGTGGGTGTAGAGAAAGAGTGCGCACTTATTCAGTCTTGGTCATAACATAGCATAAAATTTATTTCCAAGGTTCAATTTCTAAATCTTCAGTTAAAGATATAACTTTACGTATTGTCTGTGTGGAATTTGCACATTCTCCCCGTGTCTGTGTGGGTTTCGTCCAGGTGCTCTGGTTTCCTCCCACAGTCCAAAGATGTGCAGGTTAGGCGGGTTGGCCATGCTAAATTGTCCATAGTGTCTAGGGATGTGTTGGTGAGCCGTGGGGAATGCGGGGTTACTGGGATAAGGTAGGGGGGTGGGTCTGGGTGGGATACTCTTAGGAAGGTTGGTGTGGACTCAATGGACCGAATGGCCTGGTTCCATACAGTAGGGATTCTATGATATTGATGAACAGCATTGTATATTCATAGTATTTTAAGTTTTCTGAGGGCCTCTACCAATTGGTTAATCAGCCTTTCTCTGTGTACTATTTTCCTTCCACATTCACCTATTTTTATGCTCCATTTGTACATTTGTATAATCTTGATGCCATGTCATCCATTCATGTCTTAATTACTGGCAGGTTGAAAATGTCACCAGTAATTGTTAAGGATATTGAGCCAGAGAGGGTACAGCACAGATTCTCTTGGATACTGCCTGGTGTGAGGAAATGCAAGGAGAGGAAACTTTAAAACTGTGCAGAAGAGGCGACTATGAATTGACTGATTAGAGGTATTTAAAATTACAAATTGATGAAGTGGATTAGATAAAAAAAAACTTTCCAGTGATTAGGGGTGTAGAATAAGGGGACATCATTAGGACAGAAACCAGGAGAAACATATCAGTTAACATTTCGAGTCCAGTGACCCTTCCGGACCTGAAACATTAACTCTGATTTTTTTCTTCACAGATGCTGCCAGACCTGCTGAGCTCTTCCAGCAACTTCTGTTTTTGTTCCTGATTTACAGCATCCACAGTTCTTTTGGTTTTTACCAGGAGAAATATCTTTACACAGGATATTGAGTGGAATGCAATAAGGAAAACAGGCATTTGTTAAGCACCTAAAGTGCCATAAAGACCTCTTTTAGGGTGTTACGAAAATCTGGCCATGTCAGCATTTAAAAATAGTTTAGGTAGATGTTTGAAGTAAAGGGACATAAAAGCGTACAAGTTCAGCAAGACACATGGGATTAGGACTCTTGTGAATGTGGATATGAACACCACCACAGTCTGGTTAGATTGAATGTCCCTTTTTTTTGTTGTAATTTTATTTTTTCATTTTGCATTTTTTTAACAAAGTGAATTGTTAAGAATTGGAATGTGCTGTCCGAAAGGGTAGTGGAAAAAGATTTAACTGTAACTTTCAAAGATAAATTAAATAAATACTTGAAGGGGAAAATGTAGAGCTACGGAGAAAGAGTGAAAGGTGAAATTAGTTGTCTTTTGAAGAGCTAGGAGAGAGACAGTGATTTGAAGAGCCTCCCTCTGAGGCCTTGACCCTTTCCTATTATTTACAACTGTTCAGGAATATCATCTGAAAACACAGCAACATACACTATTGACACCCAGTTCAACCTCATCACCACCTCTTCTGACTGCTACACTGTTACTAAATTAACAAATTGTCCAATATCCAAAACTGAAGGAGCAGAAATATTCCCCCAACTAAAAACTGGGAAGACTGAAGTCATGTCTTCAGTCCAACTTCCAGATCCATTCCTATCTATCAACTACGTTCCCTGCCCTACCGTTTGCCACTTTGATGTCATATTTAACCCTGACATGAGTGTCTGACTACATATCAGCACCATCATGAAGACAGTCAATTTCCCTCTCCATAACATTGCCCTACATGGCCTAATCTCAGCTAATTTGGTGGCAAAACCCTCATCCCTGCTTTGGTTATCACAAGACACAACTATTCTGATGCATGCATACCTGACTGGTGTGCCACATTCTGACCCTGTAAACATGAAGTCATCCAAAACTGTTGTCCCGGTCCTAACTTGCACCAAAAGTCATTCACCACGATCTTTATGTGTACTCATCCACACTGGCTGCCGGTCCACCAACACTTGATTTTAAAATTCTCATCTCTTCCTTAACTGTGAAATCTTCTCCAGCCTCACCATCTGTGCTCCTCCAACTCTAGCCTCTTGAACAACCAATTTTAATTACTTCATCCATCATTGCCAGCTGCATCTTTGAAGATAAAGTGACGTTGGATGCAGTCTAGAGGAGGTTCGTGAGGTCCTGGGTATGGACAGTTTGAATACTTTGGCGTGTGTGTGAGAGAGAGAGAGAGAGAGAGAATGTGTGTGCTCTTTCACACACACTCTCTCATACAAACACACACACACACACACAAACTCATACAGACCTTCTCTCACACTCACACTCTCTCTCAAGCATACACACATACACAGTCTCTCTCTCTTTCTCCCTGACACACACACACACATATAAATCTATGGGGCGAATCATTTCATCCAAGATTTTCATTTATTTGCAGATACATTCTATTTTGTTCAAAAAACGCACAATTTGTAGTTACTATCAGTCAGTGTGGCATCTTATAAATTCCAGCTTTTGGAATAAAACCAGCCGGATTCCAGAATAAAACTCCGAGACAGATTCTGGACAAAGCCTCACACCTACAATTCAGTATCTGACCTGAGATGTCACCTTTTGTACATTCCTGTGGCTCTGTGTGATTGTCATGACAACACAGCACTGACACTGACTTTATAAACACTTTACACACCATCTAACACTCTTGGTCACCTGCAGAGATTTATCATCTGACACTCCACTCACGCCAGTTGTATGATCTTTCGATCTCACTGTCCTTGATCCCTCTGTAGATGAACTCTTGTGTCTGTGTGCTCTGCTCTCTTACTGCACCTGACGAAGGGGCTGCGCTCTGAAAGCTTGTGTGATTCCAAATAAACCTGTTGGACTGTAACCTGGTGTTCTGTGACTTGTCACTTTATGGTCTCACGGACTTCCAATGCACTGAGCTTTGGATTTGCCCCTCTCCAAACTCTACCGCCTCGCTTTCCTCTTTCAAGACACTCCTTTAACCTCTGTCGTCTGACCTACTGTTTCCCCGCGGGGCTCACCGTTCAACACTATTTTATAATGTTCTTTAGAAACGCTGTGGGATGTTAGTGCCACATAAATACAAATTGCTGTTGAAAAGTTCTTGGTGGGAAAAGGGATCACATGCAAAACAGACTAACGACTGGCGACTGCAGTTGCCTCCTGTGTTGTCAGATTCAATGACTACATTGCACACTGGGTTGCTGTGTGCAGAGCTTTGCCTGTAGGAGATTTTTAGAATGGTACTTATAAGTGTGGGTGGAGCTGAAGTAACGGAAATGAGAGCTGGCGGGTGATTTCCGTTTCCGAGGCTGTTTGAAGGAGTAGATTGTGAGGATGGGAAGGTGTGTGCAGCGCTGGGGCTCTGGCTGATTGACAGCTTCCAGGGATTAGCAGTGACTCGGTCATAGACGGAGTGGGGCGAGCTTTCTATGAACAGTCCTGTCGCGAACTAAATGAGCAGCAGACCAGTGTGGGTTTATCATTGCGAGAGGAGGGAAAAAAAGTCAATTGGCCATCTGAGAGCTGCTCCACTGCCTGTGGAGGGGAGCTTTTGGGGAGGTGAGGTTTTGGCTTGTGTTGGGAAGGAGCGTGTCCATGAGCTCAGGTGCTCCTTACCTGTTGCACGGAGTCACTGTCACCTTGCCCATTTCAATACCGCAATACTGTGTTTCTGTGCAAGTCCAAGTGGCCAGCTCTTAAACTGGGTGTGTTAGCAACAGAGTTGGACTGCGTTCAAAAGGAGTAATCCATGGATTGTAGTCATTGGCGCATGTGTAGTTAGGCGATGTTATTCTTTTCCATCCTTCATGTGAAAGTGGCATTGTTTTTTTTAACGAAAAGTAGCTGCCCATGTAAATGACCAGATGTTACAGTGATGTAATTTGCTTTGAGTTATCTCATTTTGTTAGAAAGCTATCGTTGTAGTGGAGAACGGCAGTGCTGTTCTCCCGCCTTCCCTGTAAGAGTGAAATATAGAGGAGATGACTGATTACACTGTAGCTGTACTGAGAGGGCTTCTGTCGGGCATCCTGCTTGCATTTTAATGGTGGCTGATGTTAAGACTGAAACTGACGGCAGGTTAATGTTCTGGAGCTTACAAATTTAACTTAAAGTGTCAGGAGCCCTGGGCAACTTTGCCTGGTGTCTTGATTGACTTCATTTCATTTTCTATATTGGCAGGGATTCCTCTGTTGGTAGGTATGATTTCACTGTCTGTTGTATAAAAATAGCTGTCAAATGCTCTAACAATAATAACTTGCACTTGTATAGTGCCTTTAATGTAATCCCCCAAAGTGCTGTTTAAGGTGTGGTATAAAGTGAACATTAAGCTATGCAACAAAGAGGTAATCTTTGAGCGTCTTAAAGGTGAAGTCAGATATGTGGAGAGGGCTACATTCCGGAGCTTGGGCTCAGGCAGCTGAAGGCAAAGCCGCAAATTGCTGGGTGGTTTAAAATCAAGGATGCTTTAAAAAGTCAGAATTAAAGAGGCCCAGATCTCTGAAGGTTGTTGATCTGGAAATGTTTAGAGGAGATAGGAGGAAGTCAGAGAGGGTCTTGAAAACAAACAAAGTTGAGAATTTTTAAGTTGAGGAGCTGGTTAACCAAGCCTCAGACTCAGTAAGCACCCAGGGGTAATGAATGGACAGGATTTGATGTGATTAAGCACTCGGGCATTGGAGTTTTCCATTTCTGTCGCTCCACTGAATCCCTCTCCCTTTGAGAGCTTTTCATTGTCCCCTTATTACATTTCTGACAGCCACTTGAAGGAGGAGAACAGAAAGACAGGTTTACGCAGTCCTACACTGATTCACTATTAAGTAGTGTCTCTGCTAATCCTGTAATTCATTATCAGTGTCCAATATCTTTTTAGATCTTTACATGAGCACATTTACTGTACTCCATCGATATATCCTTAATCTTAATTCATTCCATTTCTATTCCTCTGCAGTACTTTGTCAGATTTTGTTTTGAGTTTGTACCCAATTTGTAACTTCATTTAATTTTAGGAATATTGATCTGTTGTGAAGGTGCATGCACTATTGTTAGACTTTCTGATGTTTAGCTTTTTGAATTAGGATTCCCAGCTGCTCAAGTGTGGTTAGTCTTAGGACAGGTAAATGATGAACAAATAACATTGTTACACAGAAAGACAATTTGTTATTGTTGCGATGTGAATGTCTCTTGTATTTCGGTTTTATATTTAAAAATGGAAAGACTCGTTTTAAACAGCCTGCGAAATGTCACACAGGTTAAATGAAAGTGACGTTTAACTGATTCCCGGCCCCCTATTCAAAGCTGAGCACCTACCAGAATTTGAACAGGATTCTTAGCTAAGGCAACTAGCGTTCTTGTTGAAGGGAGGGATTTTGTGTCTCTGCTGGGTTGCACTGGGGTACGGTTCCTTGAATGCTGCCTTTATTCCAGAAGCCAATCCGATGGATATTTTTGCTTCCACCTTGTGCAGTGTCGGTTTGTTGTAAGATGACCTAGCTTTCTATTCAGTATCATTGCTTTAAATCCATGTGGACTGCAGCAGTTCAAGAAGAACATTCACCTTCTGCTTCTCAGGGCAACTAAGGATGGGGTAGTAAAAACTGGACTTGCCAATGATGGTAAAATTCCCAGAATGAAGCAAGTAAAACTAAAATAAAATGCATGTGAGATTCCTGTACATAAGTGAGCCATTACAGAGTCAAGTTTGGCATTGGGGTTTGAAACTTAAACTCAACCCTTATGTTTGAAGGCACAGTATTCATGACCAAGGAGGGTGAGGTATGTTGGTAATACAAACAAGGACAGGACTTCTACAATTAATGATAGGGCCCTGGGTGGTGTTGTAGAACAGAGAGACCCAGAGGTTCAGGTACTTAATTCTTTGAAATTTGCATTACAGGTAGATAGGGTGGTTAAGAAGATGTTTAGCATGCTTGCCTTTATTGCTCAGACCTTTGTTTATAGGAGTTGGGACATCATGGTGAGGCTGTACAGGACGTTGGTGAGACCTTTTCTGAAGTACTGCATGCTGTTCTGGTTGCCCTGTGAGAGGCAGGATAATAGTAAACTGGAGAGGCTGGGACTTGTTTGGAGAGTAGGAGGTTGAGGGGTGACCTTATAGAGGTTTATAAAATCATGAGGGGCATAGCTAAGGTGAATGAAAAGGGTCTTTTCCCTATGTTGGGAGAGTTCAAACCTACTATAAATTGTAGCTGAGAGACTGTGATTCTTTGACCTCTGCAGTTGGAGCCCTCTAATAAGCTGCTGTCTGATATTTGAACTGAGTTCGCATATTAATCGGGTAATGTTGGCAGTATCAACATTGCTGTGGGATTTAGGCATCTCAAGTTGAGAATTTTGCTTGATCTAGTCTTTCATTTTATGTGGACATTGTTACCTTTCTTTGCCCATCCCTAATTGCCCACTGGGCCAGTCAAGAGTTGCCCACATTGCTGTGGGTCTGGAGTCACATGTAGGCCAGACCAGGTAAGGATGGCAGTTTCTTTCCCTTAAGGGTATTAGTGAACCAGATGGATTTTTTCCCAACAATTGACGATGAATTCATGGTCATCATTAGACTGGTTAATTCCAGATATTTATTGAATTCAAATTCTACCATTTGTCTTGGTGGGCTTGGAACCGGGGTCTCTGAATTAACAGTTCAGTGATAATATCACTAGGCCATTGCCTCCCTCCTCAAAGGTAAACTCTGCTGTGAGCAGGGTTTGAACTTGCATGGGAAAACCCCATTGGATTTTGAGTCCAATGCCTTAACTGCTCGGCCATCGCAGATAATCTGTATTTAGTGGTATAGGTTGAGGGGTAAATATTCAGTGAGGAATGTGAAGAGAATTTATTTTGTGCTCTTGAATAGTACGGTGAGGTCTTGTTTCAGTGTTTTATTTGAATTCTGCGCCCCCCACCACAATTATCCCTTACTTTGGTGCTGCACTTGAGTTGGACTGAATTATTTTCTTAAGTTTCTAGACTGGGATTCAAGCTGATGAATTTCTTAATCTGAGGGGAGAGTGCTACAGTGACATTAGTCTTTGTAATAGAATGCACTGGCCCTTGGCAGCAGAATAATAGTGTGTTAGATAGTAAGCAGTGTTCCAGAGAGAGACAAAGGGCCTGTTGTGCTACAGGATTGAGATACGTTGGCTAGCTCTGTGTCCTCTAATGTTTAAATATTGTCACAGGGAAGATCTGACTTTTTAATCTGATGTTCTTTCCCTTTTTATTTTGACAGGGGTGTGTTTTGAGAGATGGATGAAATGGAACCGTTCACCGAGGACACTGGAAACCACTTGGAGTGTGAGGACTATATGTTTGTCGAATCAGAACATTCTGGCAAAGTTCTGGATGGGCTCAACAGCCTGCGACTGAACAACGCTTTCTGTGATGTTATTCTGTGTTGTGATGGTCAGGAATTCCCATGTCATCGCATTGTACTTGCCTCCTTCAGTTCCTACTTCAGGGTCATGTTTTCCACAGATCTGGTGGAGTCTCGGCAGGAACGAGTAGCGATAAATGGTATTGAGCCACAGATGGTGGGATTGCTGGTGGTCTATGCCTACACAGCCCGAGTGCTCATTACGAGAGCCAACGTCCAGGCACTGCTGGCAGCTGCCAACCTCTTGGATGTCATGTCGGTGCGGGAAGCCTGCTGCAAGTTCATGGAACGACAGATGGACGAAACAAACTGTGTGGGCATCCACTGTTTTGCTGAGGCCCACTCCTGCATGGAGCTGCAGACCAAGAGTATGAACTACATCCTGCAGCATTTTGATGTCGTTCACAAGCAGGAGGAGTTCCTCTCACTCTCAACAGAGAAGCTCATTGAAATTATCTCCAGCGATGACCTGAATATCCCTTCTGAGGAGATGGTCTTTGAGGCAGTTGTCCTCTGGTTGGAAAAGGATCACTCAAGGAAACAGAATTTTGAGAAGGTGGAGTGTGTTTTTGGAGTTCTACTGTCTTCGTACTGTTGGAGTTAGAGAGGGTTTGATAGAGACAGCAGTTGGCGCGTTGGGGGGTGGGGGGGGGTTGATGGTTCAAAATGAGATTAAATGGAAAGGATTTGGGACAGAGAGAAGGAGAAATGTATTTTCTAACGTGGAAGTGAGGAAGTTAACAGCACTTCTGGAATTAGTGATTTTAAAGCAGAGACCAGATCAACATTTTAAGTCTAAGTTGAATGGGTAAAGTATTGTTCCTGTGCAGGATAAAGACTAACAAGCTAATGGGACAAATGGCCTTTTTGTGTTTTACTCATATAATTCAGTGGAGTATATGGTGCAAGTAATTTGATGTAGAATGGTTACAGCAGATAGCGGACTTTTGACTGTACAATTTTGCACCAACTGTTTTCAAATCGAAATCCAGCAAGTTACACTTGCCTGCTGTCTGTGGCTTTATCTCCCACAAGTATTCTTGAGCTATTTATTGATGAACCCCCAGCAGGAGCAGCTCCCTGTCATCTCCCTACTTCTGTTTTTATTTTAGTCTCCTATTATTCATGATATCACATTACTCCAATTCCCATTTTGGACTATTACAAATCCAAATCAGTCCACCATTGGTAGCTGCTGAGTATCACATGCTATCTCTCTTTCTGTTTTTACATTATACTCCTTATACATATTTCTGACTATCTTCCAGTCACTTAACATCCTGATAAATCCTCTGCCAAAAATACCATTCTTGTGAAGAAGTGTGTGATGTTTTGCAGCATTTAAAGGCACTACATGAATGCAGGTTGTTTAAATACTTTATAAACATCTATAAAATCACCTGAAGTGAATTGATCCAAATTTTTGAGCCTTGCTGAGCAACCAAATTTTTCAAAGCTGGAGCATCTTTCTTGTGACTGATTTATAATGTACTTCCTGTCATCTCAGCACTTCGATAACGAAACAATCCCAAATGTCCGCTATTGATGGTACAATTCCAAGATTCTGTTCATTTACTAATGTTCTATTTCTGTCCTTGCATTACTTTCCTTCAAAAAAAAATGCTTTAATGGTGAGAATGACTTGTTACTGTGTGCCCACACTATCACTGAAAGTGATGAGTTAGGAACAGTGTCTGGTGTTGCTGGAGGCTTGTCACCAATGGGGAATCCAAGTCAATTTTCAGGGGTTTGGAATTGAAATGAAATAAATTCACAGTCCAGTTATTATTCAACCCTCCATCAATCTCCAACTCTAAACTGAGACTGCCAGTCTGATATTTTCAGTTGTGGCTTGGAAACCCCTTTGCTCTGTTGCAGCAAAGCTCAACTGATTTGACCGCATCCTGACAAACAGTGAGTAGGGCCACTGAGTCAGAAATTGACACCGCACAGGAAGCTTCTAGTTTTTTTATTCATTCATGAGATATGGATGTCCCTAGCTAGGTCAGCATTTATTGTTCATCCCCAATTGCCCTGAGAAGGTGATGGTGAGCTGTCGTCTTCGACAATTACACTGCATGTGGTGTAGATTTATCCACAGGCCTGTTGGCGGAGAAAGTTCCAGGATTTTGATCCAGTGACAGTGCATGAATAGAAATATATTTTCGAGTCAGGATGCTGAGAGGCTTGGAAGAGAACTTGTAGTTGTCTTTCTCTGTATCTGCTGTCCTCGTCCTTCTCGTTGGTAGAGATCATAGGGTTGGAAGGTGCTGACTAAGGGGCCTTAATGAGTTCCTGCACTGTATCTAGTAGATAGTACAACTGAGCAGTGGTGGTTGAGGAAGTGAACATTGAAGGTGTCTGTACCTGAGTAAGCCGAGAGAAAATGTATTTGATCTATTGCTTGCGACTGGGACTGGGAGGAGAAGTAGGTGGAATTTGGCAAAGGTTTGCTTCAGTTATACAGGAACCTACAAAAACCATTTTTAAATTTAAAATTCTTTCAGATTTTAGAGCACATTCGTCTGCCTTTAATTAGTCCTTATTACATCCATGACATCGTAGAGTCGCTGAATGTCATCCAGGAGTCTCTTCCTTGTCAGCGGTTGATTTCTGAAGCGAAGGACTACCTCTTGTTGCAGGACAGACGTGGGGAACTCCAAAGCTCCAGGACCCGTCCTCGCAGATCAACAGGTGGGTGCCACACAGTAGCCAGGCTTTCAATGCTGTGATTTGACTCTTGTTTTTACAAGAGCCCAGGATGTCCCTGAAAGCTTGTCGCTGCATGTTTGCAAATATTTCACTGTTGCAAAGTTGGAAACAAAGCAGCTAATTTGCACACAGCAAGCTCTCTTGAGCCACACTGTGCTAACACTTGGATAATCTATTTTTGTGATGTACGTTGATGGATAGGTACTGGCCAGGACACTGGAGAACTCCCCGGCTCTTGAAAACAACACCATGGGGTTTGTTTTCTTCACACTCGCTTGATAGGCAGTTGTTGGGTTAATTCTAATGAAAGTCGGCACACAATTGGAATTGTTGGCCTAGATGACAAACTTGAGTGGAACCCACAACCCTCTGACTTGGAGGCTATATTCAGAAATGGAACTAAATGTGACTCCCAATTGGACTAAGGTGAACTGATAAAGTTATTGGTCAGCATCTCATTAATGCCAACAAATTAATATGTACTTCTGATGAAGCAGCAAATTGATAGCTAAGTTCAGTTGAGTTCACGTCATGAAAGTGGCCCAGGTATGTCCCAAGAATTAGAAGGAGTAGTAGTTATTTGGCCCATCAAGCCTTCGCTGCTTGGTTAATCTGACTGTGGCCTTAAGTCCACTTTCCTGTCTGTCCCCAATAATCCTTGACTTCCTTGACATTCAAAAATCTGTCTTGCTCAGCTTTGAATATGTTCAATGAGTCTCCCTTCTCTGTCTCCTAGAGAAGGGAATTACACAGAAGAAATTCCTCCTCTGCTTTGTCTTAAATGGGACACTACATTTTGAAACTATACCTCCTAGTTCTGGATTCTGCTATAAGCATATGAACAAGGAGTAGGTAATTCAGCCCCTTGTGCTTGCTCTGCTATTTAATAAGATCGTGGCTGTTCTGGTTATCACCACACTCTGTCATTCCTGCCCAACCCCAATAACATTTGACCTCCCTACTTAGCAAGAATGTATCAACCTTTACTATAAAGAGGTTTAAGGACTCTGCTTCCGCTCTCTTTTCAGAAAGAGTTCCAATTGAAAAGCTTTTGCTTTGTCTCTTTTAAACAGTGACTCCTAGTTGCCAGATTCTCATCCTTTCCATTTCTGCTTTGTCAAGACCCCTTAGGATTGTGTATCAATCAAGCTATCTCCTACTCTGCTAGACTCCAAAAGGCCGAAGCCTAGCACGTCCAATCAGTCCTCGTAAGACCTGTACTGCCTCCAAAAGCTTTACATTTCTCCTTAAGTAAGGTGAGCCACAATGGATGCCTGTGGTATCAAGCCCAAAGACTGTGATTGACTGGTTGATTACAGAATCTGTCAGTTGATCTATCTCAGTCCCTCATCTCCCCTTCTGAATTCTGCTGTGTTGAGAGTACACCAACCATGGGCCCTGCAAGATGAGTATGTACATCGACCATCATATTGCTGCGTGGCTACCTCAAATGGAGGTCAGGAATCTGTGCAGGATGAAGAAAGATTATGGGGAGCCCTATGTCCATAACCAATACCTGAGCGATGGAGACTGACTAGGGGCCTGACCACAGAAGGAGGTGAGGATCCAGAGACTGATCTGCAATACAACCAGCAGAAGCATGATGTTGCAAACATTGAAGAGAAACGAGTGCAGGGAAAAGCAGCGTCCAAACCCATATTTAAACCTCCTGCTTGGTCGCATGGTGTCGATGGTTGAAACTGCCATCCTTGCCTGGTCTGGCCTACATGTGACTCCAGACCTGCAGCAATATGGTTGACTCTTAACTGTCCTCTGGGCATTTAGGGATGGGTAATAAATGCTGTCCTAGCTAGCAATGCCCTCATTGAGTGAACAAATTTTAAAAGGTACACATTTTATGTTTGATTTTATGTTAACCAATTTTAAAATTTTTTTTAAAAATAAACTTTTACATTCATTTGTTTGTAATGTGTTATGCACAGCTCTAATCCAAGGTGTGTTCTCAGTTGTAGGTCAATAGGTCATACTGTTTCGGCTTCTAGTTCTCGTGCATGAATCTCAAAAAGCTAGCATCCAAGTTCAGCAGGTAATGGGGAAATCGAATGGAATATTGGCCTTTATTTCGAAGGGATTAGAGTATAAAAGTAGGGAAGCTTTGCTAAAAGATACTAGTCGGACAACAGCTGGAATACTGTAAACAGTTTAGAACTCCTTATCTAAAGAAGGATATACTGGCATTAGAGGCAGTGCAGAGAAGGTTCACTTGACTGATCCTTGATATGGAGAGACTGTTTTGTGAGGTGAGATTGAGTGAGTAGATTTAGTCTATACTCATTGGAATTTAGAAGAATGAAACATACAAAATTCTTAGGAGACTTGACAGGTTAGATGTGGAGAGGTTGTTTCTCCTTATGTGACAATCTCAGACTGGAGGGTAAATGGTTGCCTGTTTTAAGATGGAAATGAGAAGTAGTTTCCTCTGTAAGTGCAGTGTATCTGTGGAATTCTTTACCGCAAAAGGCTGTTGAGTCTGGATTGTATATTCAAGGTGAGCTGGGCAGAATTTTAATCAGTAAGGGGATCAAGGGTTATGCAGAAAAGGCAGGAAAGTGGAGTTGAGGATTATCAAATCAGCCATGATCTCATTGAATAGTGGAGCAGACTTGTTGGGTTGAATGGTCTACTTTTGCTGTAACTTATGGTTTTATGACTAAAGCATAGTCTCCCTACTTTTATGTTCCATTCCCTTTGCAATAAATAGCTTTCTATTAACTTGTCTAATTACTGTCCTTTTGCAAACTTGTACTAGGGCACTAATTCCTTTTCGCCTCATTTCTGAAATCTCTTACCACTTGTGTTTATTTTTCTTCCTGAAAAATAGATAATCTTACATTTTCATACATTATATTCCATTTGCCAGATCTTTCACTTCTTGAATGTTCAGGTCCCAGCTAACTATATCTCTATTATATTGTACTCATTTACTATTATTTGTGCTATTACTTCATCCATCTCCTTATGAATGCAATTTATATTTGGATAAAGAGCCTTTTATTTCTGTCTGTACTATTGTTTCCTTCTCTAATTCTTGCTAGTGTACGGTATCATTTGTGCACTCTTGGTCCTGTCTACACAAAGGAGAAATCAAATTTACTACGTTACTGCCCCAACAGCCTAGTCTTGATCATGAGTGGCTGAGGGAGCTTTTACATTCTCCAAAGGGGGCAGATGGGACACCCTGGTTTAGTGTCTCATCCAAAAGACAGCTGCTGCAATGTTTCAGCTCCCACTCAGTACTGCACTGAGAGTTCTGAACTAGAATTTATGTTTATGTCTCTGGAGTGGGATCTAAATCTATGACTTCATGGCTCAAAGGTGGCATTATTATCCACCTGTGTACTCCGATGCTGGAATGTTTTAAACAGAAACAATGGGAGTATGTTTTGTCATCCTGAGGTGAATGGTGGAATATTGATTGAGAAGATATACTGAGAGCTTTTTGTTTGTCCCCTTTCTTTAATCTTTTCGTTCTCTCTAACTTGATCCTTTTCCTAAACTTCTCTATTGCTACTTGTTTCAATATAGATAACTCAATTCCAGTGCAACAGCTTGTGTGGAACAAATGGAACTTGCTTGACAGAGTCGTGCCACTCCCTCTGAGGGGACATAGTCCAGTGGAAATTATGGCTTCTCTTGAGGGAAAGTGCAACTTGAGACACCCGCACCAAAACAAAATTGCAAACTTACCAGGTATTGGTGCAAATTGTACAACATGCAGTCCTTCAACCCATCAGATGTAAAGCTGTGGTTAAATTGTGTCCAATTTATTGGATCAGTTTGTTTCTAAAATAAAGTATAAAGATCCAGCCCAGATGTATTTGGCAGCATTGTCTGGAACAATATAGGAGATTCACAAAGGTAGCACTTCTTTCAATCACAATTGTGAACCTTTGCCTAGTTTTATGGATTGGACAATCCTTGTGTAGTGTGGAAAGAGGATTGTTGACATTGTCAGCTGACAATACTGGTATTCATTGCTTTCCCTTTCTGTCTCCACAAACTCTCTGTTTTGACTGTCTGTGTAAATGGATAAACCTCAAAGGGGGAATACAAGCAGCTGTGGCTTGCTTGTCTGTGTCATAAGGCTGTGCATTTCAAGTTCCATTCCTCAGACTTCAGTGCATAAACTAATTTGACATTTCTGGTGCAGTATTGGGGGAGTGCTGCAGTATTGGGGTGCATTCTTACAGATGAAATAATAAACTGAAGTCCTGTCTGTCCCCACCTTGGGGATTGAACAGGTCCCTTGGCACTATCTTGTAGGAGAGCAGGAGAGATCTTCCTGGTTTCCTGGGCCATGTCAGTCTATCAACCCATATCCCTAACACAGATTATCTGTTTATTTTGTGGGAACTTGCTCTCCCTGTTCCCAAATTAGCTGCTGCATTTCCTCTATTACAATAGTGACTACTCTTCAAAAATATTCCATTTGCTGTGAAATTTTTGGGGAAGTACTGAGATTGTGAAAGGTGCTACAGAAATTCAACTTGTTATTTTTGTATTAGTTTCAGTGGTTTAATTTGAGTTTAAGTACGGTGCCTACTGTTTCCATTCCAGGTACAACGGAGATGATTATAGCGGTTGGAGGGGAAGATGATAAGGTGGTTCTTCGCAGTGTGGAGAGCTTTGATCCCATTGGCCGTCAATGGAAGTGCCTTGCCTATTTGCCTTTTGCTGTTAGTAAGCATGGACTTGTTGCATCAGGTATAGCCGATCTCCACCTTTTTAACCATAGTGTTTATCATTGTAAATGTAAGCACGTTCGCTTGGTCTTATAAGTTTTGGAAGTCTTGCAGCACCTTTTTAATTTAGATTTGAGTTAAGAACAATTAAAAAATTACATCAGACATACAACAAAGCAAAACACCATTCCGCCTCACCTATCTATGCCAGTGTTCATATTTTACTTACCTCCCTCCCACTTTTCTTCAGATATGTATTATTGAAACCCTCTCCCCATTTCCCTCAATCTTGTAAAGCTCCACCTTCAGTGCACCTGTACTCATCTCTTCAAACCACTTCCTGTGACCTTGAGATACAGCCCAGCTGTTGATCCTTTCCTAATATGTATACTCTCTCAATTTTGGTATCATCCATGTAAATTGATCTACGCCCTCTCTGCTGCCTTTCAATCCCTTTTTGTAACATTGTGCCTATAGCTGCGCACACATTCTGTAATCTAACCAAGGTTCAATACAGTTTGAAGCAACTTCCCTACTCTTCAATTCTAACTTTCTAGAAGTAAACCCTTAGTGCTTGGTCATTTTAATGATGGCCGAAGACCAGCATGGATACAATAGTCGTTTTTGCATGCTGTATAACCAAAAACTGACATTTTCCTAGCTACCATCAGTTCTGAATAAGGGTCACTGGACCCGAAATGTTATCTCTGCTTTCTCTCCACAGATGCTGCCAGATCTGCTGAGACTTTCCAGCAATTTCTATTTTTGTTTCTGATTCTATCCTTTTGTTCCTCTATCTCACCTAGACCTGCATCTTCCAAGTAATAAATGACCTGTGTGTTCTTCCTACTAAAATGTATTATCTCTGTACTGGTACTATCTACTATCTGTGTTGAACTTCATTTGCCAATTATTTGCCCATTCTGTAAGCTTATTAATGGTCTCTTGTAATATGTTGCAGTGCTTTGTAATGATTATCTTTCACAAATGGGCAACATTATCCAATGAACTATGTAATTGTGAACAATGTTATTTCTCAAGATTTTTGTAGAAAGTTGTCCTCCCCTCACCCTTCGCTCTACTCATTATACCTCAAATTTTGTGTACCTTGTATTCTGTGGCATGCACCTTGTTTGGGGTTATTTTCTCAGATCTGTTCTTAAAGATTTATTCCTACTGCAAAATGTAATCATGTTATATTTGGAAATGTAAATGGGAAAATGGAAGTTTAGATTATTAATCATATTTTCATAAGGAAAAAGTGGAATTGTGCTCACTTAATCGTTACACAAGAGCATATAATTTTGTTGGAAGCTGGATTTTGGCACATTTGTGGCCTATCCCAGCACTGGGTATCTTTAGGAAAGAAAGTAACTGTCTGGCAGAGTTTTTGATTTGGTTGTAAGTGGCAATTTGCCATTGAACTGAGAGGAGAGTAATCAGTTGGGATTCATGCCTTTAAGCCTGACAGCAAGCAAAATTACATTCTCTTTTAGAGGAAAAGAAAAGACTCTCAAAGACTAAAGAAAGAAAACTTCTAGTTCAAGCCAAGACCTAGGTCCAACTGACCGGCTATTGATTTGCGGATCACCACAATTGGTAATGTGAAATCAGTGCCAAAAATAAAAACAAAACTGCGAAAATCACCTCATTTTCCCCTTTTGGATTGGACTCTGATCCATAGACTTGGTGCTTTTTTGCCTAAAAGTTTTCATGATATACCTAAAAATTTGTTTTTTTTTCTGTCATGGGTGTTTAGATTTAAAGCAGGTCTAGTTAAAGTTTGCATGTTAGTAATAACTGTTACAGGATAAGTTTTATTATGATTTTGTTCTCTTTTCCTTGGAAACCTGGCATGTTTCTTTTATCTTAGACCGTCAGATATTAATTATCCTAGAAAATAAATTAATAAATTTAAATAAGTTACAAATTTCATTTGTAACGTGAAATAGTGGGTTCAATTTACAACATGCTATTTCTACCAGGGCTGTGACACCATTGTTTTAAATACTGAAGTATGTGAATCTTCAAATGGTAAATCATTGAATGCATTTGCTTGAAGAGTGTCCCTGAAAGTTTTTAATCTGAAATCTCTGCTTTGTGTTCATTTTTGTCAAAGTTGGAGTGGTTATAGATATGCCAGGAGAACAAATGAAATGGGCCAATTTATAAACAAGTTAGATGTTACGTTGAAGGCTGTGTAATGAAAAATCTACTTTAGTTCCTTCTAACTTAATATTTTGGAATGGTTTATGCGAGTGGTTTTTTTCAAGTCACGTCAGTATAAAAATGTGCAGTATCAAGGGAGCAATGTTCAACTTGATACATCCAATTGTTTCCTTTGCCCTTGCTTCACATAGACAGAAATTCAGTTTATAATTTTTTTAAAAATGGTTCACGAGAAAAAATAGTCATAAGATGGGGAACGTAGGTGGGATGCAAATCAATCTTCTGGTAAAGAAAATGGACTGAGTTTTTAGTTGTTTGGTGCTTCTTGTTGACTTACTTATTGGTCCACTGAAGTTGATTGTGTTTTTTTTTGCTGTAAACCTGGAGGCTTACCTTGTATCATCTATTACCAGCTTTGTTGATTGATAAAACTGTCTCCAATGGCTCCCTCCTGCATTTATGTAGCACCTTTTAACATATTAAAATGCCCTAAGATGCTTTACAAATTGTGACACAGCTCCCCGAAAGTAAATTTGGTATTGGTACCTGAGAGCTTGGATAAAGGGGTAGATTTTATTGAGTAATTTGTGGAGAGGTTTAGAGAATGGTGTTATCTGTGAAAATCTATGTTGTGCTATAACCCTCGGGTAATTATTAACTTGATAACTAGCTGCCCTATGTAGTGCATATGTTATATTCTGCTGTAGAAGATGCCCTTTTGATAAGAACAGAAGTGTTTTTGGAACAAGTAGAAATCCAATAGATACTGTGAGAGCAACTGATCCCAGGGTATTTTACAACAATTGAATTTCTTTTGATTTTAATTTTGCCACGTGTACTCGAGTACAAAGTACAGGAGTACAATTGAAACGTGTATAATGTCACTAAACAAGGTGCCATCTTAGGTACAAGTGCCAAGGTACAGAATCTTAAGAACAAAGTTAAAAGTTAAACATTGCAGTAATTATAGTAGAGCTAAAGCATTTGAAGTAAGGTTAAAAGTTACACGTTACAAACCTTTATTTTCAACTTAAAGCTAAGAAATAAAGCTGAAAGTTATAACATTGCAGTCATAAGTGTTTAGCGATGGTGGGACTGCACTTTGAGGAATCACCTAGAGACCGGAATTCCACACTGAGGCCGCACTGGGCCGAGAGACCGCCACGCCGGACTAAAGAGATCACTATGCCAGGTCAGGAGGCTGAGAGTCCAGAGGCCATAGAACATAGAACATAAAACATAGAACATTACAGCGCAGTACAGGCCCTTCGGCCCTCGATGTTGCGCCAACCTGTGAAACCAATCTGAAGCCCATCTAACCTAAACTATTCCATTATCATCCATATGTTTATCCAATGACCATTTAACTGCCCTTAAAGTGGGTGAGTCTACTACTTTTGCAGCCAGGGCATTCCACGCCCTTACTACTCACTGAGTAAAGAACCTACCTCTGACATCTGTCCTATATCTATCACCCCTCAATTTAAAGCTATGTCCCCTCGTGCTAGCCATCACCATCCAAGGAAAAAAGCTCCCACTGTCCACCCTATCTAATCGTCTGATCATCTTGTATGTCTCTATTAAGTCACCTCTTAACTTTCTTCACTCTAACGAAAACAGCCTCAAGTCCCTCAGCCTTTCCTCATAAGACCTTCCCTCCATACCAGGCAACATCCTGGTAAATCTCCTCTGCACCCTTTCCAATGCTTCCACATCCTTCCTATAATGCGGTGACCAGAACTGTACGCAATACTCCAAGTGCGGCTGCACCAGAGTTTTGTACAGCTGCAACATGACCTCATGGCTCTGAAACGCAATCCCTCTACCAGTAAAACCTAACATACCGTATGCCTTCTTAACAACCCTATCAACCTGGGTGGCAACTTTCAGGGATCTTTGCACATGGACACCGAGATCTCTCTGCTCATCCACATTACCAAGAATCTTACCATTGGCACAGTACTCTGTATTCCTGTTACTCCTTCCAAAGTGAATCATCTCACACTTTTCCGCATTAAACTCCATTTGCCACCTCTCAGCCCAGCGCTGCAGCTTATCTACGTCCCTCTGTGACCTGCAACATCCTTCCGCACTATCCACAACTCCACCGACTTTGGCGTCATCCGCAAATTTACTAACCCATCCTTCTACGCCCTCATCCAGGTCATTTATAAAAATGACAAACAGCAGTGGCCCCAAAACAGATCCTTGAGGTACACCACTAGTAACTGAACTCCAGGATGAACATTTCCCATCAACCACCACCCTCTGCCTTCTTACAGCTAGCCAATTTCTGATCCAAACCGCTAAATCACACTCAATCCCATGCCTCTGTATTTTCTGCAATAGCCTACCATGGGGAACCTTATCAAATGCTTTACTGAAATCCATATACACCACATCAACTGCTTTACCCTCATCCACCTGGCCGGGAGAAGGGAAAAAAAAAAAAACAGGGAAAAATAGAGGGGAAAAAAGGAAGGAAATGGATGGAGTGGACGAGCTCCGTCTGAAGTGCCCTACTGCACTGGCACCTTTGTCCTCTTGAGTGTGAGTTTGCTCTGTAATAACCACAGGATATGCATCTTCTGTTGGCCCAGTTATCTGGCAGAGGCTGGCTAAAAGACCTTTCTGAATTGTTGGGTAATTGACCAATGGTTAATGATTTCTTTCTGTAGGTTCTACCCTTTACTTGGCCGGAGGGGAGTTTCCTGATGGTTCTGCGAGCAAAGAAATGTGGCGCTATGACCCGTGTTTCGATATGTGGCATGAAATGGCAGCAATGAATGTGGCACGCTCTGAACTAGGTAAATCGCGTTTGTCAGAAATGTCTCTCCTTTTCTCCCCTCCCACGGCCCACCCAATAACGTGGGGAGAAGAAAAATTTAAGAGTTATGTGGTCTGTGGTTTCCCACCCAAATCTCTGCTCGTGTCTGTGTTTGTTTGCATCCCTAAGCCAGCGTCTCCTGCCTCAGCAGTCATGATATGTGAACACTTTCTTTGAATGACAATCGGAGGTTGTGGAAGGTCTTTCCACATGGGTTTTGTGATTTTTGTTTTTGAAATGTATGTGGGGATGCCTACATTAACCATGATTGAATGATGAAGCAGATGGGCTGAATGGCTTTTCTCTGCTCCTTTATCTAATGGTCTTAACAAGGTGGTGAGCTGAGGTGTTGTAACCATGACAGCATTTGATGAGACTACCAAGTCTCTGGTTAATTCACCATCCAGCTCCAAGCTCTTACGGCTTTGCTGGAGGTTCAGTAGTAGGACCCTCATGACAAGAGGGAACGTTTAAAGGCCAGTGAGTTAATCCTGAATTAAGCAGCAGCCTTCTCTACCTGTAGGTGATGCAGCCCTACTACAGAACAAATCAACATTGACTGTAGTCATTCCCAAATACAATCCCAAAGTCAATGACTTTGCATTAGAGATCAGATCGACGAGACTCAGTGATGGTGATTTGCCAAAAACGCTGGTGGAAGACAAATTCTCAACATCCTTTGGTGGGCAAAATACATATGGTTATTTTTAAAATATTCAAGGCTAAGAACATGGAAATAGGATGAACTTTTGAGTGTTAAGTGGAGTTCTCAACAATTCCTGTTGACTAGATGTTGGTTTAGTACTTGAGCTCCGTTACAATGTTTGCCCTGATGGCGTAGGAGGATATAATCTTTCCTCGGTAGCAACAGATGGTACAGCACAAGCTCACGATAAAGGTTGTCCCTGGTTTCCTCACTTGTGTACCACTTAGGAGTGTTCCCCTGGGAGATGAGGGAAAGATCCACTGTTCTGAGCTGAATACCTCTGATGCTAGCCAATCTGGCTGTTCTGATCTACCATTTCTCCCAGTGAGACAGCAGCCTTTTCCAACACTGTCTGAAGATTTCATCCAGGTGCTATTGAGTCCATCAATTCTGTTCTGATTTTCCATTAGCTATTCCCTGAATCTCATTTCCATAATTTCATTTTCCTCTATATCCACTTCCCAGTCATTGGTAATTCTGTTTCTGGCACTGTTTCAAGCTCTATGGTTTATATAACCAGCTTTTGTACATTTTCTTTTGTGAAGACGGGACATTCTTGGAATTTGAAAAAATGGTTCCTGCCTTGTTGATGAGGTCAGTACTAAGCCTATTGTAGCATTCAATTAAAAGCAAAATACTGCAGATGCTGGAAATCTGAAATAAAAACAAAGTTCCGAAGAATTCAGCAGGCCTGGCAGTATCTGTGGAGAGAGAAACAGAATTAATGTTTCAAGTGTAATGTGACTCTTACTCCTTCGGTTAGTTTAGTTTCTGACCCCTTTTTAGGATACTGACTGCACCAAGCAAATTAGTCCCAGACATAGGGGTTATAGTCTATTACACACTTTATTTAAGAACTAGTTGCCCATTAGATTTTAATGTTCTGGGGACGGTTCTGCTAAATGAGGTAAAGTTCCTTGGAATCACTTGCAGGTAGAGGAGGCTGCTGCTTAATGCCCCTCTCAATCCCTGTTTGCAACATCCCTCGACTTTTGTTTTCAATGCTGTGGCTGGCTAGCTCATTTCCAAATTGGTGCATGGGACCAAGACCACACAGACTGATCATTGTACTGGGTCCACAGAGCCATTGACCCACAGGATAGGTGGGTTATATTGGGCTATTTCTCAGGATTGGGGATTGTTGGCAAGGCTGTTCCTAATTGCCCAACTGTAGCTGACTTGAAGGTGATGGTGGGATATCTTTAATTGCTGCATGTAGCATTTGATGTAACTGTGTGTCTCGCTGGGCCACTTGACAGAGTTGTGTGTGGGACTGGAGTTGCCTGAAAGGCCTTGTAAAAATGGCAGGTTTGCTTCCTTCAAGAACACAGCACTGAGCCAGGAATGACCATTTATGATCTTCATGATCTCTTTGATTGAATTGATTTTTTTTCTTAATTTCTAGATCATTTTCAAGTCCTCAAACTACAACAGTAGAGTCTAAAGTGTATTCTTTGCATTTTTTTAGATCAATAGCATTCTGCTGGAGGTGAATAGCTACTGCATAAATCCACTGTATAAACCTTTAGATGTTTTTCCACTCCACATTCTGCCTCCTGCCCCCCTCCCCACTGCAAAATTTGCTTTCTAGAGGAATTACCAGCTCCAGCTCATTTGGTGGGACAATTTGGGAACTAAAGGTTGGATTGATTTCTTACTTTCTTCTCCCCGCTCTTGTCCCCGTCCTCCCGCCTGCAGGCCTTGCTATGTTGGATGGTTTTGTTTTTGCTGTGGGAGGCTGGGAAGGATCGTCAAGGCTGGATTCCGTGGAATGTTACAATCCCCACACAAACACTTGGCACTTCCTGGAATCCATGAAGATGGCAGTGACTAGTCCAGCTGTGGTGGCACTCCATGGGTTCTTGTATGTAGCAGGTAAGTGAATAATGCTACCTGTTAGACTCAGTCATGATGTGAATACTGCCTTGTGTGGTTAGAAGAGAAAGAGGACTTGCAGTTATGTAGCACCTGTTATGGGCCAGACAAGGCGCACACCTTCCCTGCCTCAAAAAATCAAAGTAAATTTTGGAGATAGTCTAGACTTACACTTATCTTTCTAAAAAAAAAAATTAAGGAACTATATTCCAGATATGATTTGATTGGTCCGCCACTAGGCTTTAATCAAAACACACTTTATTCTTACAACACAGTTAAAATACAACAAAAAGAAGAACTGGCATAACTTTACTCTATCAAAATACTTAACAAGATAATGTATAATTTAACAACTAATCATCAAATGTTCCAAAATAGGCAGAATTCCATAAATACAACCTTGGCAAAGACAATTCAGTTACACAGTTATTATTCTCACAAGCTGTCTCTTTCCAATCTGGAAGAAAGTAACAATCTACCCCTTTTGATTTTTGAGTTCAGTCTAGCAGCCAGAAAAACCACCAACAAACTGAAAGCAAAACCAAAATCCTCTCGTCTATTGTGAACCTGAGCCCGCCCACTCCTGATTCTTTTGTCTTACTAAAAGAAAAACACCTAGGAAAAACACCACTGTGACAACACCCCTCTGCAAGAGAAACAGGGAAAGAAGACATCTCGAAGGCACAGTATCATCACACACCTACTCAGGATCTCTCGAGTGCCAAAGTGTATTATAGCCCATGAAATAATGGTCCAGTTATAATGATGTAGGATGTGTGATCCCAATTTATCAATATCACACTTTCCCAGTGGTGATCTTTTGGTTGGAGGACAGGGTGACCTCCCCCTCCAACATTCCCCAACCCCCCCGCCCACCCCATTCGAAACACCTTGCTTCCTGCAAAACGGGTCAGTTTCCTGACATACCTTTCTCACGCTTGAATAGTATTGGTGATTTTTAAATTTCAACCAAATTTTGCCTCTTGGATAAATTAGAGGCAAGTTGAATTCAAAAGCACAATGTGGAGGAAGTTGGATGTTGTGCACTTTAATGTTTGAAGATTCCATCCACCTTTTTTTCTGTAGTTAGTTGTTCCACAATTCTCCTGTGCAGCTGATTTTGCCAAGACTTTGACTTCAGCCTTGGGTGTGGGAGGTATTTTAATTAGTTCATGGGTGTAGCTGGCTGTATTGCCATCCCCAATTGCCTTTGAACTGAGTGTCATTTCAGAGGATAGTTAAGAATCAGCCATGTTGCTGTGGATCTGGAATCACGTGTACACCAGACTGGGGAAGAATGGTAAGTTTCTCTCCCTAAAGGACATTCGTAAACTGGATGTTTTTTTTAAAATCAATCTGCAGTGGTTAATTTTCATTATAGAGTCATACAGCATGGAAACAAATCTTTTGGTCCACGCTGACCATATCTCCAAACTAAACTCGTCCCACCTGCCTGTGTTTGGCCCATATCCCTCTAAACCATTCCTGTTCATGTGCCTATCCAAATGTCTTTTGAAGATTGTAACTGTACCTGCCTCCACTACTTTCTCTGGCAGTTCGTACCACGCACTAACCACTCTCCTGTGTTTTTAAAAATAAGTCCCCCTCGTGTTCTTTTTAAATATTTCATCTCTTATTAGACTAGCTTTTAATTCAATTTTTTTTAAAAAATTCAAATGTCATGATGGAATTCTGGTCCATTTAAACCTATGTCCCTGAAACAATTAGTCTTGGATTCAGGATTACTCACCCAGTGACATTACCACTACCCAACTGCCATTCCTTTGATACATATGATGTGAGGAAGATCTCAAATTTCTACTGGTGGAAGCAGGAGTAGTGCCATTTCACAATCGAGAGTTGCAACGTTAGAGGGAATGTTTGCGGCAAATGGGGGAAGGAAAGGTGACCGACAAAAACTGCCGAGTATTCACTTTGATAGCATTTTAAGAATTGTTGAAGTTTAAGAAGTGTAATGTTAAAGAGGCTTCACTTTGCAGGAGGAGCTGTCTTGGAGGATGGCGATGGGATGGATCTGGTTCAGGTGTACAATCCTAAAATCGACTCCTGGTTTGAGGTGGCTCCAATGCAGATTCCACGTTCTGGTTCTGCTGCCTGTGTCCTCCAAGGAAAGATTTATGTTATTGGTAAGTGAGAATGATAGACCTGCCTCTTTGTAGCACCTTTTACAACCCAAAATACATTCTCTCCATTGAAGTACATTTGAACTCTCTCGAAGTTTTGATTACCTGTCATGCCTGTGCTTGCTGTTATACATTAGTTCCCATCCAACAATGCCTCAATTTAAAAAAAAAAGTTTTCCAATCCCAATATTGCTTTGGCCTTCCCAAACTCTAGTTTCCCGCACCCCCACAGTGCTTTCCCCAATTTTGCCGCCTCCTATGAATCCCTGACATTTCATTGCTCCACCATTGATGGCCGATTGACCTTTATATGCCTAAGCCCCCTGCCTTGGAATTCTCACCTCGACCCCTTCTTCATGCTTGAGGCTTAAAACCTGCCTCCTCACCAAGTTTAGACCACCTGTTCTAATCCAACGTGATGATGCCCTTGTGACAGGCTGAGATAGTAAGGACATTAGGGGTAGGCCATTTGGCCTGTTCATCCTGCTCCACCGTCCAATTGGACCCTAACTGATCTGATTGTAGCATGTTCATTTTCCTCTCTTTGTTTTGTATATTCAAGGGATATCATTGTTGCTGGCTAGGCCAGCATATTTTTTGCCCATCCCTAATTGAGTGTGTTATGTATCTCTCTTCCTAGGTGGCTGGCATGCCTCAACAGAGAACACTGACAAGGTGGAGCAGTACGACCCTAAGACCAATACATGGAAGATGTGTGCCCCCATGAATGAGAGACGCTATCGACCAGGGGTGGCTGTGATTGACAGCAAAATCTATGTGCTAGGAGGAGAGGAAGGTTGGGATCGGTAGGTATAAGCAGTTCCATGATTGAATTAGATTGCCTGGATCTTATGGCTGCCTAGATTCATATAACCTTCCCCAACAATCAGTCTCAGCTTTGTGACAATTTCAAATCAACAGATTAATGAGGGAAGACGATTCCAGATTTAAGACCATAAGACATAGGAGCAGAAATTAGGCCATTCAGCCCATCGAGTCTGTTGCGCTAATCAATCATGGCTGATAAGTTTCTCAACCTCATTCTCCCGCTTTCTTCCTGTAACCCTTGATCCCTTTGACAATCAAGAACCTGCCTGTCTCTGTCTTTAATATACTCAATGACCCGGCCTCCTCAGTCTTCTGTGGCAGTGAATTCATAGATTCACCACTCTCTGGCTGAAGAAGTTTCTCCTTATCTCCGTTCTAAAACGTCTTCCCTTTACTCTAAGGCTGTGCCCTCAGGTCCTAGTCTCTCCTACCAATGGAAACATCTTCCCAACATCCACTCTGTCCAGAGTTTCAACTAGATTCCGCACCCCCAATCCTTCTAAACTCCATCGCGTATACCGTAACTTTGCCTTTCTTACAAACTTTTTCTGTTTCTTGGTGTATCTTGCGCCCCACCTCCTGACTATTGTTTGGAGGCCTGTACACAATTCCAACTATGGTTTTTTTACCTCTGCGGTTCCTCAACTCTACCCACACAGATTCTGCACTATCTGACCCTACTTCGTTTCTTACAATTGACTTAATTTCATTTCTTACTAATAAGGCAACCCCACCCCTCTGCCCACCTCCTATCTTTTCGATAAGCTGTATATCCTTGGATATTCAGCTCCGAATCCTGATCCCCTTGCAGCCATGTCTCCGTGATGCCCACCATGTCATATCTGCCAATTTCGATCTGCACCACAAGCTCATTTACCTTCTTTCTTTATACTGCGTGCATTCAGATATAACACCTTCAGTCCTGTATTAAGCGTCCCTCTTCTCATTGTCACTTGTTTATCCAGTGCGCTTGAAGTTTGGTTCCTAACCCTTTCCAAACACCCTGTCCTATTTGTGTCTGTGCTGGAGACTTTAATAACCTCTCCTGAGTTCCCCTTTCCCACCATTTTTTTCATATTTTTCCACAGTGAAATCTACCCCTACAGATGTTAGCCTGTTGCTTTGCTGCCCACTGGAGGAAGTTTTACCCTTCCCTTCCCCATCACTTTCCAGTTTAAAGTCGTGTTGACCAGCCTATTTACCCTTTCCGCTAGAACATTGGTCCCAGCTCGGTTCAGGTGGAGACCGCCCCAGTGGTACAGATCCCTCCTGTTCCAATACTGTGTCTATTACCTTTGTATACTTGGGAAGCCTTGCTTTTTGTGTCCAGCAAAATTGAACTGGAATCATTTGAAGATGTCACCACAATGATTAAATAACTTCAAACAGTTAAAGTGTTTGAGATGATTTTTTCTTGAATGTCTGTACTTAATTTATTTCTGTATAAATTAATCAGTGCATTTGCATGGACAATGTGCATTTGCAGCCTCCACCTAAGTACTGTTGACAAGAGGTTTATTAGGCTAATTGTTTTTATTCTTTAGCGCTGAACAACAATTCAATTATGGAAACATTTCTGATCAATATAGATTACAATTTGAAAAACAAGATTTTAGAAGGAACATTTACTCTCCCACTTGTGCTAATGGATGGAATCTGATTTGAAGCCTATAATTTTCAAAAATTGTTTAATGTTAGACAGAGATCCCAGCCATCCTAAAATGGTAGGAAAGGCTGCTGCCTTTCCTATTGCCCTTTTGAGAGGAACAGAGAGGGAGGCTATTGTGCATGTGTTTTCTCTTTGAAAGAGTTACCTAACATGTCCTAATCTTCTGTTGTTTTCCCTAATTCCTGCAAAGCTTTTTCCCCCCTTTTTTATTTGGTTTAAAATGATTTCTATTACAACTTGAGTTGTAGCACACCCTTTTAGTGTTAAACCAATTGGAGAAATCAGAGAGATGGGGAGATTTCTGCCAGTGGTTCATCCAGCTACCAGACACTGCTCCTGTGGTGAAAGCTTAGATACTTGCTCCTTTATATTTCATGCTTTTGAAGGTTGTATTTTGTTCATGTAATCCTTTAGCAAACTTATTCTTGAAGTACGTTCTTGCACTTGATTTTGCATTTTCTGGCTTGTTTACATTGGCAAAAGTTTTGTGTATTATAAGAGAATTCTGAAAAAGGCAGATTTTCAAGTTTGTTCTTGTTAATTAGTTCACTTCCAATATTCCACTGCATAAGAATCGCAAACTTTGTTCCCCCTGCATAGCTGTCAAGTGTTTTTTTTAGAAACAAAATTTGTTTAAAGACCTGACCTAATAGATGTAAACTCTACATTGATTGTGACCCAACCATTATACACATAGCAGCAATATTTGTTACATATAAAGTGACATTGCATCGGATTTGGAAAGCCACAGGACTGAATATCCAGAGGAGGGTGAAGGTCTAGCTCTATTTCATACTCTATCTGTAGAGTCATGATAGCGTGGGAGGCCATGTGGCTTGGAGTTCATGTACATTTCTGAAGAGCAATCCAGTCAGACCCATTCCCAGTTCTGTCTCCACGGCCCTGCAATTTTTTTTCCCTTGGGTCTTTGATTTAGTTTGTTTTCAACTTTCATTGAACAAATAAACTAAATTGTATTAAAAAAAACAAAAAGGAAATGCTAACTTTATTTTGAAGGTGTGCTGTAGTCTCTCTCCTCAATTCACTGTGCAACTTGATTTGTAGCAACTGTGATCACAGGTAGCACGGTAATACACACTTTTCTGTCATGTTTCTAATTAGCTGCAGAATTCTTTTTAAAGGTCCCATTTTCAATTCAGGTCTGTGTGCAAGTTTTGTACAAAATCCAGTGATTCTCTACCCTCCTCCTCATTGTTTGCAGATACCATGACACCATTGAGCAGTACAGTGAAGAAACTGGCAAATGGGAAATATATGGAGAAATGCTCACAAGTCGCAGTTGGTTAAGTTGTGTCTCTGTGAAGATGCATGGCCCGGCCCCACAGTTGATCAAGAACATTGTATGAACCAATGTGAACGTTTTCCATCTTGTGCACTCTGGATATGTGCCATTGTCAGCAACCTTGTGTGAAGGTTGTCACCTGCAATTTTCAGAATGTTTGAACTGTTCTTGGGGGACTCCTGGTTCTATGGTGTAAACTTAGAGAAGCATGTTGAGACTAATTTTTAACATTGTAGCCCAGGTAGTAACCTGATGCAGAAACCCATTGAGATTTTGATACAACAGTTTCAATCGGATGAAAACTGGGTGGGTTGATTTAACAAGGACAATGGGAACTGGTCTGTTTCTCCGAGTTATTGCCCAGATGGTAAGTTGAATGTTTCTCCTGTTTATTTTAACCAAATCAACCTCTGAAGTAATTCCTTAATTTTGACTGTCTTAAGAAGAGCTAACAATAGCTTCATGACAGTGGTGCTAACTCTCATTTTGAGTCTGACTCTGCAAACATTTTTTTTAACTAAGCAGGTTATTCATTTTGGTGCAGTAGCTGTTCCTGAATAGGGCCATTTGTTCCAATTGTTTATTTCTCATACATCTCAGCTAATGGCATCTGGTCCTGCTGATTATACGCTGTATCGAGACTTTTGTTCCAATCTATCTACCCTGTTCCTTACCAAATTCAAACCCCAAAAGAAACTGTGATCAAGACTTCAGCAAATTCATTAACTATTTTGAAGGACTTTATGATATGGATGGTAATTTGCTCAATGAGTTTGGACTTCTGTAGTATCTAGAGAAGAGTTGTGTTTTCATACTCAAAACATTCAGAATGAGCATACTTATTCCTTCCTACACAGAGCTTGATCCTCGTGCCCTGCAAGTAGCAATAAGATACAGGGAACGAGATACTGCATCTATGCTCCAGTTGCTACAAGTTTATAAGTTGGTGTTAAAATCTCACCACTTGTTCAAAGGAATTTTTAAACTTGTTCTCACTTCAGGAAAGGCTTCACTCAGATGCAAATTCAAAATTTTGGTAATCTCAACTTAAAGGTTTCAATAGAGTGCTGAAGAAAACCAACCTGTCCAATGGTCTTAAGACATATGTTACTATCCATTGCAAGATGTGTTCAGTAAGTATCGCTGCAAATATTGAGGATTAAATTTAGTCAAATTTTAACGTTCCAAAAGCTTCACGTATTGTACTTGGTGCTGTGCTTAAAGACAGTAATCACAAATGATGCAATAAAGGTATTGTAGCTATACGAGTATAACCCTATGGGTTTTTTAAAAGTTGCTCATGCACAAATGCTTTTGTACCTCAGTATATAACTCTTGCTGTAAAAACTTAATGCAAATAATGTGTAATAAAATTTTGTATTAAAACATTCATTGATGTAATTTTGAACATGCACACTATCAACAATTATTTGCCACTCCTATAAGGCACTTAGTGATGGCTGCAACACCAATAATATTTAAATGTGATGCTATCCAGGACAACTTATATTGACAGCAAATCACTCCCCTTTACCTTCACATGGAAATATGACTGGTTCTGTGCTGGGTGGTAAATTTCCTCCTTCACAGCCCACTGGCTCACTATCATCTTCAAAGGGCAATCTGGAATGATGGAATGTATATGTACATACTGGCTTTATTGGTGCCACTTACATCCCCATGAATGTAGGAAAATCCTACATCTTCTGCAGCAGAGAACACAAGTTTCTATTACCTACTTATTTCTCTACTGAAATCTTAACACTTTTACCTGGCTTTAACTATTGAGGTGATTACAGCCAATTTTCTACCTACTACTATGTAGTGCATAAAGCAAGTGACTTGCTGGACTAAAGTCTTCAGCCAATTTGGCATATAGTGATGATTCAGATGTCCCCACAGGAGTATGTGGATGTACCTACTGGAGGAGCAAAACTTGACCTACTCTTGGGAAATGAGGCAGGGCAAGTGACTGAGGAGTCAGTGGGAAAGCACCATAGGGCCAGTGATAGTTTTATTAGGTATAAAATAGTTATGGAAAAAGATGAACCTGCTCTAAAAATTAAAATTCTAAATTGGAGGAAGGCCAATTTTGACAATATTAGGCAAGAACTTTCAAATTGTTGATCAGGGGAGGCTATTTGCAGGTCAAGGGATGGCTGGAAAGTGTGAGACTTTTAAAAATGAGCCCAAAGACAGTATGTTCCTGTTACTGTAAAGGGCAAGGTTGATAGGTGTGGGGAATGCTGGATGAGTAGAGAAATTGAGGCTCTGGTCAAGAAAAAGGAGGCATGTGTCAGGTATAGATAGCTTGGATTGAATGAATTCCCTAGAGGAGTATAAGGGCAGTAGGAGTATACTTGAGGGGAAATTAGGAGGGCAAAAAAAAAGTTAAGGAGAATCCAAACAGATTCTCCAAATATGTTAAGGACAAAAAGTGACTAAGGCCCTTACAGATCAACCAGAGCGTCTGTGAGAAACCATCAGGAGACGAGTGAGACATGAAAGGAATATTTCATGTCAGTTTTTAATGTGGCAAAGGATATAGAAGCTAGATAACTTGGAGAAATAAAGTGATATTGAATGTTTTAAGACAGCTGTCTTTAAGCTAAATGTTGTGTAACTTGGAAGGGTTCAGAAACAATTTGCAAGGATGTTGCCAGGGTTGGCGCTATAGGAGGGGCTCAATAAGGTAGAACTATTTTCCCAGGAGCATTGGAGACTGAAGGGTGACCTTAAAGAGATTTATAAAATCATGAGGAGCATGGATAGGGTGAATAGCCAAGGTCTTTTTCCCAGGGTAGGGGAGTCCAAATCCAGTTAGTATAGGTTTAAGGTGAGAGGAGGAAGATTTAAAAGGGACTCAAGAGCCTACTTTTTCCTCACAGACAGTGATACGTGTGTGAGCTGCCAGAGGTGGTGGTGATGATGATATGTACAATAACCACATTTAAAAGACATCTGGATGGGTACATGAATAGAAAGGGTTTAAGAGGTATATGGGCCAAATACTGGCAAATGGGACTAGATTAATACAAGATATCTGGTTGGCACAGATCATTTGGATCACCCTGGTTCCATGCTGTACATCCGACTCTAAGTTAGGGATAGGCAATAAATAATTGGCTATGCCATCAACATCCACTACCCTGAATGAATACTGGAAGAAATGACTCATTACAGCATATCTGCACAGTCAAAAGCTGGTATTTTGGACACAAGTGCTTGTGCTAAATAGGTGAAAGGCAGGGTTAGAAAAGCCTACTGATGGAAAGACAAATTTACCTTTTATAGATTACAGATTAATCCACCTCCACTACCATCTAAAGTGGAAAGTGAGTACTGTTACACTCTGCCAGTCTAGCATCGGAAAGAATTTTCAGAGGCAGACACGTTAGGCAGTGTTCAGCCAAAGCACTTTTATTTAAGAAATTAAAGTAGATTACAAATGCACTCTTTGAACAATCCTACCATGATGTTCAAAAGCATCTTAGAAAAAAGTAGAATGTACATAACTGATGGTTTGAAGCCATTTCCTGTTCAGCCACTGAATATTCCACTGATTGTCACACCAATTCAAACTAGTAAACGTTCAACCGCCTGTTGAACAGACTGAATCTGTGGTTTCAGCTGAGAGCCTTCCTTTATGGTGACAGAGGATGCAATGACTGGTCGACACACACCACACGCACGGCCCAGAGCCTGTTTAGACCTTACAAAAACGTAAGGCACATTTTTATCTTCGCACAGAAGAGGTAAATGAAGGATAATCTCCAATGGTTCAGCATCTGCAGCCATCACTATGAACTCGGCAATTCCTCTGTTCAAGGTCTTGGTGGCTGCAAAGACAAACATTTCTATTAAATCAATTTTTGGCTTAGAGAGTTGAGGAGAAAGACAAGGGAAGCACTCCACCCTTCCCTCTGCAGAAAGAATGGTTGAGTAAAGAAACTGATATTCACCCCTACCCCCCAGTGAAATTGTATACCTCTACATAAAGAGCTGATGGAATACCAATTACAAGTGATCTAACTGCTTCAATATGTACACTGTACTTGGGAACATAAATAAAGTACCTTCATTAGCTCCCTTTCGAAGCTGTTTGTAGTTCCCCGCTTGCTGCACAAGATCTAGAATTGTCTTTGTTAGCTGGGCATCCGCAAGAGGATAGGCTTTAGGGTTAACGTCTTGCTCAGTCTACGATGAAAAAAAGAAATTACAGTTGTATTTGTTAGAGCTAAAAGATATGTATACTCAGACCTTATTGTTCATGATAATATACAAAAGATTAAATGAGAATGTGGAGGGATAATAAATACATTTGTGGATGACAAAATGCTATAGGATGGATATTATTAAATTGGAGAGGGTGCAGAAAAGATTTACATGCTACCAGGACTGGAGGGTTTGAGTTATAGAGAGGTTAGCTACACTGGAATTTTTTTTTTTTTTTTAAATCCACTGGACCATAGGAAATTGAGGGTTTATATAATCTTAAGGGGCATAGAAAAGGTGAATAGCAAGTCTTTTTCCTCAGATACAGGAGTTTGAAACTATTTTTAAGGCGAGAAGGCAAAGATTTTAAAAGGGACCAGAGGGGCAACTTTTTCCCCACACAGGGGATGGTTCATGTGTGGAATAAACTACCAGAGGAACTGGTAGATGCAGGTACAGTTACAACATTTAAAAGACATTTGGACAGGTACATGAATAGGAAAGGTTTAGAGGGATATGGGTCAAACGCGACCAGATTAATTTAGAAAACTGGTCGGCACAGACGAGTTGGACCAAAGGGTCTGTTTCCATGCTGTATGGCTCCACGTCAAAGATTGGTCAGGTGATTGAATTAGGAAGGAGGTCTTGGGTTACAGGAGCATTTCGACAGATTGGTCAGATGGACTGATGGAATTTAATTGTGAAATGAGAGAAAGAGATAATGCACTTTGGAAGTAGTAACAAGACAAAGGAGTCCTCAATGACTAGCAGGACACTAAGAAGCTGTAAGTAACAGATCCCCGATGGTGACAGTTAAGGCAGCATTCAGGACACTTGCCTTTATCAGTTATGGAGCTGTACAAAAGTTTTAGTTAGACCACAGCTGGAGGACTGTGTAGTTCTGACCACCACACTATAGGAAGCATATGACTGCCCTGGAAATGGTACAAGGACATTGCCTGGGAAAAGAACATTTTAGCTAATAAGAGGCTTGATAAGCTTGGGATGTTCTCTTTACAGCAAACAGGGCTGAGGAGGGATCTGACTGATGTGCATAAAAAGATTGAGGGCACGTGCAAGGTAGATAGAAAGCGGTCATTCCATTTAGTTTAAGGGTCAATAACAAAGGGACATTGGGCCCTAATGGTGCAGTCATAGCATACCTCTGGGCCAGGAAGCCTGTGTTGAAGTCCAATCTGCTCCAGAGGTGTTTAATGACAGCTGTGAACAGACAGATTAGAAAATATCTAACAAGGGGTCACAATTTTAAGGTGAAAAGCAGGTGGTTTAGAAGGGATTTTAGGAAGGAAAATTCACCCAGAGGGTGGCAAAAATCTCAGGCACACTGCTTCGTAGTACACTAGACACAGGAAATAGCTTGACCTTTACAAAAGTACTTGTATAAATTCTTAACGTCATAACATTCAAGGCCATGGGCAAACTGCTGGAAAGTGGGACTTGCAGATTTTTAGTAGCTTAGTCAACGCAGACTCCAAGGGCCTCTTCTGTGCTGTATGATTCTATGACAAAGTATATTAACACATTATAAAAGGGACATGCAGTTGTATTGCATTATGCCAAGTCGATCCAGAGGGTAGCAAGGTCAGTAATTAATTATCTGAAAGGGTGGCATCATAGAAGAATGGTTACACAGGCATTCTATCAGCCTGCTGTATCCACACCAGCTCCCTACAAGGATAACTTTGCCAGTTCCACTCCTTGGCCTTTTCCCATAGCCCTATAATTTTCTACCTTCAAGTAATATTTAGGAAAATATTATTTAATTGGAGACAGATCAGAGAAAGCTCACTAGGGTCATCCCCAGTGTGGAGGGATTGTGTTATGAGCAAAGGTTGAACAGGTTGGGTCTCTATTCACTGGAGTTAGAAGAATGAGAGGTGATCTCGTTGAAACATACAATTCTTTAGGTGCTTGACAATGTAGCTGCTGAGAGGATGTTTTCCCTCATGGGGCAGTTAAGAACCAAAGGGCACAGTCTCAGAATTAAAGGGCACCAATTTAAGACTGAGGTGGAGGAAGAATAATTTCTAAGGATTGAGTGTCTTTTCTTTATGATCTTATAATTATCCGAGTCCCTGTTGAAAGGCACAACTGAATCTGACTCCAGGCAGCGCATCGCTAAAAACGCGCTGTGTTTTTTAAACAACGTGGCCCGAAATAATGTTCTGTGATATATATGTTTAAAGTATATTTGGAAATAACACTTGAGACAATATAATCCCAGCGGCTACCGGCATAAAGCTGAAAAGTGAGGTTGGTTTGGTGCTCTCCTGGCTGGCACAGACAGACAGGATGGGCCGGTTGGTTTCCACGGGTGTCGCACATGTAATTCCCCACCAGGTTGTCAACAGGGCCCGAGGAGGTCAGCCACCTACCCCCGCCAGGTTGAGGAAAATGAGGAGCAGGAGGTGGCCGCAGGGTCTGCGGAAGCTGCAAAGCAGTGGCTTCTAATGGGACTAGGTCCGCTAATCCGGCGGGACTGAGCCCCGAGGGTCCGGACGGGAGGCACTCCATCCTATGGCCGCTCCAGGGAAGATGGGACCCGGAAACTGCGGCCTCCACACGCGGGATGAACGGGCGGCTGACCGACCTGCCTCGCTCACTTACCATCTCCCTCTCTATACAATCCGAGTTCGTAATCAATTTCTCACTGTCCCCTCAGCTACCGCTTCACGGAGGACCGACCCGAACAGGCAGCACCGTACACACCGCTCTCACTATAACCGGCGAGACCGCCGTCAACAACGCGACAACACCGGGCAAGAGCAGACCCACCTGCTTTCATCGGCAAGTGCAAGCTCAGAGCGCCATCTCCGCTGGGCTGTATCAATTACAAATGAAAGCCACTTGGCCCACCGAAGGTTTATTTAATCCAGAATGGACACAAAGTCTCAGCAACAAAATATCCAATTTATTTTTTAAATGATTTATTGGTGGAAGAATCGAGAACCAAAATAAGTAGGTCATGAGGAATAAAAGTATAATCCTGCAGATGATGGAAACATGAATCAAACACAGAAAATGTTTGAGGAATTCAGCAGATTTGGCATCATCTGTGGAGAGAGAAATTAACTTTTTGAGTTCAGTATGACTGTTATTCCTCAGATGACATGAGGATTTTGTTTTAATGCAGCAAACGGTCAGGATCTGGAATCACTGCTTAAGAGTTTGGTGAAGACAGAATCAATCGTAGTTTTCAAAAGAGGTTTGGATCGTTACCAGAAGAACTATTTGCAAGGTTATGAAGGAAAGACTTTGACCACCACTAGGTTAATTGCTGTGGCACAGATGCAATGAGCCAAATGTTTTATATTCTGTGAATTTACTATTCTGTGACTCTATGATTTCAGAGTTTATAGGTTCTCTGCCATATCCAGCTTTGTGACCAGTTGCCATTCCATATTCTACACTACTGTATCGTAACATACTGAAATTACAACTGCACTTCAAAAGTACTTAATTGGCTGTAAAGCACTTTGGCATCTTCAGTGACAATGAAAGGTGCTCTGTCAATACAAATCTGCTTTCTTGTAATGTTTGTATCTGGATGTCCATAATAACATTGTCATGAATTATTGATTGTTCACTGTATTTGTGGACATTTGTTTTATTTTAGTCTATTTTGTGTCTGCTCAGTGACACCAGTGTTGTGGGTAAATCACCACAAGCTATCTTTAATTTGGCTACTTATTAAAAAATCTCACAGACAATCAAGTACTGAAACAATGATTTAAACTTTATTGCATGTAGCAACCAAAATAAGACCCCTCAAGTAACCAAGTTAAACTTCACAACCCAACTTGGCTATTACCTGATTAATGGTGGAATATAGTCAGAATTCTAACCAACAGTATCTGTCTCTGGAAGTGCACAGGGTTCAATCTTTTTATAGTGATTTCCTTGGAAGTTCTGCCACTGAATTGTTCTGGTGTTGGATTCTTGTACAATTTTCTGACTTTCAAGTTTGTGGTGTGACATTATTGATGATTCAATAGATGCTTTCACCTCTAATATTGATTGCACTTCTGAAGATCTCAAATCTATAGCTTGCTTTCTTATCAGAAGTAGCTCCCCTGCTCCTTGTGATGTTTGGGATTAGCTGTCTGTTTAAAACTCAGCTTTTTACTGCATTTGACCCTTTAACTTCAGAACATTCCTTCTGCAGGCAGATTTAATTGCCCATTTGTCATGAAGCAACAGGTTATCAAGCAGTGTTATCTCCTCTTTCTCAGGAAACAGCGTGTTTATGTTGTTTCTTCCCAAAGATGCTTAATTCACACATTGTTTTTAATTCCTTTATAACAGCTTCTCCTTGTCCCTTTTATCTTGAGAAACAATTTATTCCGGAAAGACTTATCAACTGCTTCTTTCAGTTCATGAAGTTATTAAAGTTTTGAAGTTTACACCTGGGTAATTTAGTCTTACTGTCACAGTTGAACTTAAAAAAAAGCTTGCTGTTTCTGGGAATCCATGTAAAATTGTCTTTAAATAACTTGCTTTTATACTAATTGTGATACCAATTCTCACATAAGTTAAATTTCCTTCTAGGTTATGTAAGTGTTAGGAGGTTGAAACCAAGGTGGTGGAAGATCTCAGCAGGCGTAGCAGCATCTGTGGAAAGAAACAGAGTGAATTTGAATCTAATGTGACTAGATTTATGCTGTTGTTACAGACTGGAGCATTTTATCCACCAGCGGGTGACCTCTAGGAAGCTCATAGTGTTGGGGGTTGGAGGACTGGTGCTACCTCTCTCTGTGACTGAGCTTTTGCCCGGACTGCACAGCAGACAACTGACAACATTTCCACCGTTCTGTAGCGTCATTGGACTCGAAACGTTATTTCTCTCTACTGATGCTGCCAAACTTGCTGAGTTTCTCCAGCAATTTCTGTTTATATTTCAGATCTCCATCATCTGCAGTATTTTTTTAGATGAGATTAAAGTAATTGTTTTTAGGTTTGACAACAACTTTATAGTTTTAGTAATCTATTATGCCCTTATAAAATTGCTACATTTACTGTATTGTCTCGTTTTATTAAAAGCAGTTACTGGTTGGTCGTCACATTGTGTAGGTCTCATCTGGTCGCTGATGGCACGCCATATTGTGTAGGTCACAGAACTGGAAGTTGGTGGACACCATATTGTGTAGGTCACGTCTGGCCGCTGATGGTCCGCCATATTGTGTAGGTCACGTCTGGCCGCTGATGGTCCGCCATATTGTGTAGGTCACAGGTCTGGTAGCCGGTGAGCCACCATATTCTGAGGGGTCAGAGCTAAGGCGGAGATAATGAGGTCGGTGAGGAAGGTGAATTCTACACTCGCCAATCTTGTCGTAAGTGTCTCCATTCGTATTTTCACCAAGGAACAGATTATTTATTCGAGAAGTACTCGGCTCCGTGTCTCTCGAACCGCAGACGGTAAATTACTAGTCAGCCCGATACGGTGCAGGCCGCTTTTTGGGTTGTAGTGGCCCTTCGGTGCTTCAGCGCCTACTCCGTGTAGACTCAGTCCCAAACCGATATCGACCTTTTCATCTAGTCCGACTGGAACCCGGACACCGGGGAAGCTACTGTGTGAGGCTGGGTCTGGGAGGTTGCTGAAGGTCATCCGCTGGCTAGACGTGAGACACCAACCTGCCTGTTCGGTTGAAGCAATCAGAAACACTGTATCTTCCCATTCCATGATATATTCTGCAAATTGTGTTTACTTAAAAATGTCATTGTTCTATATTCAAAATCACGAAATACAGACAATACCTATGTAGGGATTTGACATTGCGAAGGTTATTTTGATATAGTACCAGCTGCACAATACATCTGTCAGGATCTCGAATTTTGTATTTCTATTTCAGTAACAATAATTTTGAAATGGCAAGTGGAATTCTACTTTCACCAAAATTGTCCAACCATCTTTATATGTCTTTGTTAAACTGGGTTTCTTCATTTAAAAATTTAGTTATTAAGGTGAGAGCAATTGCCCTTGACATCAAGGTAACATTTGCTTGTGGTATTAGGGAGCACTACAAAAACTAGATTCAGTTGTTAGGGTGGAGGGGGAGGGGATGGAATCTCTCCACTGTTTGGAGTCATGCCTAACACCAAGAAAAATTGCTATGGTTATCATCTTCATCTCATCATTGTAGCTGCACCTCAAGTATCTGAGGTCTGACCATCTGCTGCTGCTGCTGCTTCATCTCTAAACTTCCCTCCATCATAAGGTCAGAAGTGGGGATATTTGCCGATGATTGGAACAATGTTCTGCACTATTTGCAACTCCTCAGATACTGAAGCAAGTTGTGTCCATGTACAGCAAGACCTAGACAACATTCAAGTTTGGGCTAATAAGTGGCAAGTTAAGTTTTTGCCATACAAGTGCTGGGCAATAGTCATCTCCCACTGAGATTCAATGACATTATCATTGACCAGAAACTGAACTGGCTGAGCTATATAAATACTTTGCTACTGAGCCAAGTCTGCCGTCAGTAATTCACTTTACGTCTGCCAATGTCTGTCCACCAACTACAAGGCACAAGTCAGGAGTGGCATGGTGGCATTGTGCTTAGCACTGCTGCCTCAAATGCCAGGGACTTGGGTTTGATTCCAGCCTTGTGCCACTCTCTGTGTGGAGTTTGCATGCTCTCCCCGCATCTGTGGGTTTCCACCTGATTGTCCAATTTCTTCCCACAGTCCAAAGATGTGCAGGTCAGGTGGTTTTGCCATGCTAAATTGTCCTGTAGTATCCAGAGATGTGCAGGTAAGTGGATTAGCAAGTAATATAGAAACAGGCAGTGAGGGATTGCTTACTTGTATAAAAAGGAAACTTGAGGCAAAAGTAAACATAGGCCACTTAGAAAATGGGGAAAAATGGATAACCAAAAAGTTTAAGAGGAATTGGATGAGTATTTTGCATCAGTCTTGATGGTACAAGACACTAATAACATTTCAAAAATACTAAATCAAGGGGCCAAAGGTGGAGAGGAGATAAACACAGTAACTATCACGAGAGAAAAAGTGCTCGGGAAACTAATGTAACTGCATACTGACTTTGTGATTTAAGTACCAGGAGATCCAGATCCTTCTGCCATCTCGGTATCCCATTTTCACCCTCTCCCCATGCCCCTGAGCCCCTTTAGCCGCAAGAGCCACATCCACCTCCCTCCTGAATATATCTAATGAACTGACCCCACCAGCAGCTTGTGGAAGAGAATTGCAGAGGTTCACAACTCTGAGTGAAGAAATTCTTCCTCATCTCAGTCCTGAATGGCTTACTGCTGATTCTTAGACTGTAACCCATAGTTCTGGACTTCCCCAGCATCAGGAACGTTCTTCCCACATCTAGCCTGTCCAGTCCCATCAGGACTTTATATGTCACTATGAGATACCCCCCTTCTAAATTCCAGCGAACACAAGCCCAGTCAATCCAGTCTTTCCTCGTATGTCAGTCCTGCCATCCTGGGAATCAGTTTGGTGAACCTTTGCTGGACTCCCTCAATAGCAAGAATGACCTTCCTCAGACTAGGAGACCAAAACTGCACACAATACTCAAGGCGTGGTCTCACCAAGGCCTTAAATAACTGCAGCAAAACATCTTTACTCCAATACTCGTATCCTATCGCTATGAAGGCCAGCACGCCATTAGCTTTCCTCACCACCTGTTGTACCTTCAGCGACTGTTCCACCATGACACCCAGGTCTCATTGCACCTCAGCTTGTCCTAAACTGCTGCAATCAGAAAATCTGCTGCCTTGTTTTTGCAACCAAAGTGGATAACTCACATTTATCCACATTATACTGCATTTGGCAAGTATTTATCCACTCGGCCGTTCTGTCCAAGTCACCCTGCAGCTTCTTAACATCCTCCTCGCAGCTTAGTGTCATCTGCACATTTGGAGATACTGTATTCAATTCCTTCATCCAAATTGTTAATGTATATTGTGAACAGCTGGGGTCTCGGCACTGAGCATTGTGGCACCCCACTCATCACTGCCTGCCACTCTGAAAAGGATCCATTTATTCTAACTCTCTGCTTCCTGTCTGTCAACCAGTTCTCAATCCATGACAATACATTACCTCCGATACTGAGCATTAATTTTGCCTGCTAATCTCTTGTGTGGAACCTTGTCAAAAGCCTTTTGAAAGTCCAGAGATTCAACATCTATTGATTCATCCTTGTTCACTCTACTGGTTACATCCTCAAAAAATTCTGTAAGATTTGTCAAGCATGATTTCCATTTAGTGAATCCATGCTGACTAGGACCAATTCTATCGCTGCTTTCCAAATGCTCAGTTATTTCATCCTTAATAATTGACTCCAGCATTTTACCACCACCGATGTCAGGCTAACCTGTCTATAATTCTCCATTTTCACTCTCCCTCCTTTTTTAAAGAGGGGGGGGGGGTTACATTAGCTATCCTTCAGTCCATTGGAACTCTCCCAGAGTCTACAGAATGCTCGAAAATCGTCATTGATACGTCCAGTAGCACCACTTCCTTAAGTTCTATGGGATGCAGAGCATCAGGCCCTGGAGACATATCAAGGTTTAACCCCATCAATTTCCTCAATACCATTTCCTGACTACAAGGATTTCCTTCAGTTCCTCCTTCATGCTTGACCCGCTGTCCCCTAGCATTTCGGGAATGTTCTTTGTGTCCTCCTTAGTGAAGACGGATCCAAAGTATTTGTTCAACTGTTCTGCCATCTCTTTGTTGTCCATTATGAATTCACCTGATTCTAACTGCAAGGGACCTACATTGTCTTCACCAGTCTTTTTCTCGTCACATTTCTATAGAAGCTTCTGCAGTCAGTTTTTATGTTTTCCACAAGATTACTTTCATATTCTATTTTCCCTTTCTGAGTTAAACCCTTTGTCCTCCTCTGCTGAATTTTAAATTTCTCTCCTGCACTACCTTCCTACACTTCCTCTGTCTGTTGGTCACCCATTCCCTATCTTCCTTAGTAATTTTTATCTGCAGTGTGACCAACTTGCTGAACATGCTATCCATGATTCCCTCAGCCTTGGAGTGATGGTGTGCATTACATTGAGTTCTTCTGATGAGGTCTGCACTGCAGAGGGGAATTGAGGAGGGTCAGATGGATAAGAGCTATCCCTCGTCATCTGTTATTCAGACGGACAGTTGAACAGATGATCACTCATCATCCAGTATGGGCCAGGACATGTAGGCTAAGCTGAAGAGGAATGACTGAGTTCTTTTGAATAATAGTTTATGCAATCTATATTTTATGCTATCTATAAAATTAAGCAACTTTTAGAATGCTGTGTTCATTTCTGGTCTCCTTGCTGTAGGAAGGATGTTGTTAAACTATGAAAGGGTTCAGAAAAGATTTACAAGGATGTTGCTGAGATTGGAGGGTTTGAGTCATTGGGAAAGGCTGAATATGCTGGGGCTTTTTTTGCCTGGAGTGTCGGAGGCTGAGGGGTGACCTTAGGGAGAATTATAAAATCATGAGGAGTATGGATAGGGTGAATAGCCAGTGTCTTTTTCGCAGGGTAACAGGGTTCCCAGGGAATCCAAAAAGAGGGTAGAGGGCTTAGGTTTAATGTGAGAGGGAAGAGATTTAAAAAGGACCTGAAGGGCAACTTTTTCACGCAGCGGGTGGTGTGTGAATGGAACGAGCTGCCAGAGGTGGTGTTGGAGGTGCCTATATTCACAACGTTTAAAAGACATCTGGATGTGTACGTGAATAGCAAAGGTTCAGAGGGATATGTGTCAAATGCTGGCAAATGGAACTAGATCAGTTTAAGATATCTGGCTGGCGTGGACAAGTTGGACCAAAATGTCTTTTTCTGTGCTGTACATCTCTATGACTCTAAGTAAAAAAACTGAATAAGCTGGAAACACTGACCAGGTCAGACAGCACCTGTGGAGAAAGGAATGATTCAGGTCAATGGACTTTCGCCAGAATTGGAAAGAGTTAGAAATGCAATGGGTTCTAGGTGTGTTTAGAGGTAGAGAAGGGGTGGGAAGAACTGAAAGGAAGGCATGAGATAAAGTGGAAGACACTTTAAATTGGAGATTAAATGATAAAAGGAATGGTATGTAAGGCCAAAGGAAGGTCATTGACCTAAAATATTGGTTCCTTCTCTTTCCACAGATGCTGCCAGATCTATTGAGTATTCACAATTTTTATTTTTATCACAGCATCTATAATATTTTTCTTTTGTAGAAGTTTATCATAGATAATAATCAATAAAAGAACAGATTTGGAGTAGGAATTATCTTCTAAACATGAAATGTGAAATGTTGCAAACCAGCTTCCCTGAGGTATCCAGGAGAGATGCATCAATCTTTCTGAAACATTTCAATTGATTGTTGACATTCGTGTGAATTTTTGATTTCAGGCGAAGAGGCTTTATTCGCCCAAAGTTGCGGCTAAGCATGAGTTCACAGCATCTGCAGAGAAACAACACCTTCCAGCACAGGAATTGCAGGTCAGTGAACAACTATAGTCTTTGTCAGAAGTGTGATTTCACCTTGATCATTTTTTTGAAAAACCTTTCTTTGGCATCAAGGCTTTATGACCCTTTGAGAAGATTACTTGCAGATAATGTCCACGGAGGTGTCCGGTAATCAAACAGTGTGCTGCAGGACATTGAGGTTGCAGGTTGTCTGCACTTCCTCTGTTACGTGTGTTTAATATGGTATTTAAGAATATTTGCAGGACTTGAACACTTCCTGCTCTCTTAATTGCCATTCACAAGGCACAGAAGTAAAACAAATCTAAGATACTTTGGGATAACAAGGTGTAGAGCTGGATGAACACAGCAGGCCAAGCAGCATCAGAGGAGCAGAAAGGCTGATGTTTCGGGCCTAGACCCTTCTTCAGAAAAGATACTTTGGGACTGGTTCATTGATCCAGCAAATAACTGACTCTCTAAATCAGAAATTCTCAGGTTTGATTCTTAATCAGTGCTGAGTCAGCTGACTTTAGTCAGATGGGGTCAGGGACGTAACTGTGCTTTTCAGCTCTTTACTGTCGTCGATTTGTGTATGATGATTGACCACTGAGGCAAAATACCAGAGAGCATGAACACAGGAAATTGTGGTGGTGGTGGTTGGAGGGTGAGTGGGTGGCGAATAGAGAGAGAGAGCGATGACATATGGCTACGCAGTTGGCCGAAAGCATTAGAAATACTTTCAGCTGGGCTGACAAAGACACTATCTACAACAACATGGCAAAATCAGCAGGTCTGGCAGATGAAGAGTCATCACACTCGAAACGTTAATGCTACTTTCTCATAGCGTCATCCAGCATGGAAACAGACCCCGTGGTCCAACTAGTCCACACCGACCATGTTACCAAGCTAAACTAGTCCCACCAACCTGCTTTTGGCCCATATCCCTCCGAACCATTCCTACTCATATCCTTATCTAAATGTCTTTTAAATGTTGTAACTGTACTGGCATCCACGTCCTCTGGCAGTTCATTCCATACACTAACCGCACTGTGTTTAAAAAAAACAGTCACCTCTTGTGTCCTTTTTAAAAATCTTTCTCCTCTCACCTTAAAATTATGCCCCCTAGTTTTGAACTTCCCACCTTAGGGAAAAAGGTGCTAATCAACTTTTTTCTGCCCCTTATGATTTATAAACCTTTGTAAGGTAACCCCTCAACCTCCTACGCTCCAGTGAAAGAAGTCCCGGTCTATCCAGTGTATTTTTTATAACTCAAACCCTACATACCTGTCAACATCCTGGTAAATCTTCCCTGAGCTCTCTCCAGCTTAATAATATCCTTCCTATAACAGGGCGACCAGAACTGCATGCAGTGCTCCAGAAGAGGCCTCACTAACATCCTATACAACCTCAACATGACGTTCCAACTCCTATACTCAAAGGTCTGAGCAATGAAGGCAAACATGCTAAATGCCTTCTTGACCATCCTGTCGTCTTGTGATGCAAATTTCAAAGAATGATGTACCCGAGCCCCTAAGTGTCTCTGTTCTACACTAGCCAGAGCCTTAACCATTAATTATATAAGTCTTGCCCTTTTTTGCTTTTACCAAAATATAACACCTTGCATTTATCCAAATTAAACTCCATCTGCCACTCCTTAACCCATTGACCCAATTGACCCATAGACAATAGATAATCTTCACTGTCCACTACACCAATTTTGGTGCATTGTAAAATTACTAACCATGCCTATATTTTCATCCAAATCACTTATATAAATGACAAACAAAAGAGAACCCAGCACCAATCCCTGTGGAACACTGCTGTTCATAGGCCTCCAGTCCAAAAAACAACCCTCAACCACCATGGTTTGTCTCCTACCATCAAGCCAATTTTGTATCCAACTGGCAAGCTCAGCCTGAATCCCGTGTAATTTAACTTTACTGATTGGCCTACCATGCAGAACTTTGTCAAAGGCTTTACTAAAGTCCAGCAAACAATGTCAGCTGCTCTGCCCTCATCAATCTTTTTGGTTACTTCCTCAAAAAACTCAGTCAAGACCTTTGTGAGATTTGGTTTCCCTCACACAAAACCATGCTGACTATCCCTAACCATTCCTTGCCTCTCCAAATACGTGTAAGTCCTATCTTTCAGAATCACTTCCAACAACTTACCCATCATCAATTCAGACTGTATAGTTCTATAGGTCTATTGTTCCCAGGCTTCTCCATACAGCCTTTCTTAAATAAAGGCACAACATTAACCACACACCAGTCCTCTGGCATCTCACCCGTGGCTATAGATGATGCAAATATTTCTTCTAGGGGCCCTGCAATTTCCTCCCCAATTTCCCACAATGTCCTGGGATGGACTTGATCAGGTCTTAGAGATTAAAACTTCCAGTACTTCCTTTTCTGTAGTATGAACTGTTTTCAAAACATCAATATTTATTTTCCTGCGCGTTCTAGCCTCCGTTTCTTTCTCCACAGTAAAAATTGATGCAAAATATTCATTTACTATCTCTCCCATCTCCTGAGGTTCAACACAAAGACAACGTCATTAACTTTTAACCACAGATGCTGCCAGACCTCCTGAATTTCACCAGTAATTTCTGTTTTTTTCAGATCTCCAGCATCTACAGTTCTTTGTTTTGTTACAAAGGCATTATCTACCAGTCTTGATTATTTAAATGCACTTTTCATGTTTTCAAGTTGACCAAGCGTGAATTTCCTTTGAACTGTAGTTGCTGTTGTAATGTAAGAAAACATAATAAGCAATTTGTGCACAATAAAGTCCCACAAACAGCATTGAAATGAATGATCAGATGTTCTGTTTGTTGATAATGATGATTGGTTAGGCCTTTGGGAAACTTCCCAGTTCTTTTTTGAACTGGTAATTAGGGCCTTTGTGTAATCAAAAGGACAGGATTTCCAATGGTTTGATAGTCCCTCAATATTATCCTAAGATGTCAGCCAGCTATTATCTTGAGATAATCCCTTGAGATCGATGTTCAATGCACTGTCCAATTAATAAACTTGACTGAATACATTGTACATGTAATTACTGCGTAGGGGAATTGAACCTGTGCTGTTGATGTCATGCTGCTTTGCAAACTAGCTGTGTAGCCAATTGAGCTAACTCACCCTAAAATCCAGTCTTCTCAACTTTGCCCCTCACCTGAGACATGGTGACTCACTGCTAGTTGTCTCTTTCTGATGAGAGAGCAATCCTCTGAGGATGGTGACTTTACTTTCACTTTGTGACTGTTATGAGATTAAAATGAGACTACAATACCACCTAGTGGTTCAGACTATCAAGGCACCAGGACCTGTTTATGAGGGCATTCAATCCTAGCTTAAGGAGGCAACTTGTTGAGATAAAAGTGTGACCAAAGGACTTTAGATAGAAGGTCTGTACTTTAAATTTAAATTGTTTAATTTGCTAAAATCATATGATGATCAATTCTTTGAAGGAACGCAATTTTTCTTCTACAGGTATCTAAATTGCCAAATGGATTAGTAATTGCCTCTCTGGAGAATTACTCACCGACCTCAAAGATTGGAGTATTTATAAAGGCAGGAAGCAGGTATGAGAGTGCCAGTAACTTGGGCATCACTCATGCCCTTCGCCTGGCAGCAAACCTGGTAAGTAACATTTTAATGGAAATCTTAGCACTTTAAATAATTCTTTACCATTGCAACACTATTTCAGCATTTCTTTCTTGCTTTATTTTAAATTGAAGATAAATTGTAATTGTTCTCACCATCCTCCGTGTGTAGATTGTTTTAAATGATCTAATTGAACTGAATTGTTCACAGTTACATTTGAGTGGATAAAGCCTGTTCCTTGATGTCCCAAGGGCACATTCACTTCACCCCAAGTTTACACATCTGTTTTCCGTCTTTCTCTCTTTCTCTACATGATACCTTATACTTGCTGGGAAATGATTCCACTGGTGCTGACAGATCTCTGGCTTATCACCTTAGTGGCTATCTCTTAGAATGTGATTCGGGATAGTGTATGTTGCTAGATGCTTAGTTTGGCAACAATAAGGTCAGAAGTCACATGACACCAGTTTATAGTCTAACAGGTTCATTTGGAATCTCTCGCTTTCGGGGTGCAATGAGAGAGCAGGGCACACAGATACAGAGTTTATCGGCAGAGAGATCAAAAGATCATACAACTGGTGTGAGTGGAGTGTCAGATGATAAGTCTCTGCAGGTGACCAAGAGTGTTAGATGGTGTGTAAAGTGTTTATAAAGTCAGTGTCAGTGCTGTGTTGTCATGACAATCACACAGAGCCACAGGAATATACAAAAGGTGACATCTCAGGTCAGACACTGAATTGTAGGTGTGAGGCTTTGTCCAGAATCTGTCTCGGAGTTTTAAGCTGGAATCAGGCTGGTTTTATTCCAAAAGCTGGAATTTATAAGATACCACACTAACTGTGACTACAAATTGTGCGTTTTGTGAACAAATAGAATATATCTGCAAATAAACAAACATCTTGGATGAAATGATTCACCCATAGATTTATTTATATATCGCGTGTGTGTGTTGGGGGAGGGAAAGAGAGTGAGTGTGTGCGGGAGGGCTGGGGGAGGGTGAGAGGGAGAAAGTGAGTGTGCATGCATGCGGGAGGCTGGGGGAGAAAGGGAGAGAGAGTGTGTGTGCGTGTGGGGTGGGGGGGAGATGGAGAGACAGAGAGTGTCCGCTGAGATGAGGAGGAATGTGACAGATCCCTGAAGGTTTTGAAAGACGTCCTCATAAGAACAGGATATGATGCTTAACTCATCGATCACCAGTTCCAACGTGCAACAGCGATAAACTGCAAAGACCTCCTCAGAAGACAGACACTTAATAAGACTGATAGAGTACACGTTGTCATCCAGTACTTCCCTGGAGCAGAGAATCTACACCATGTTCTTTGAGCTTTCAACACGTCATCCATGTGATGAGCATCTCGCCAAAATCTTCCCTACACCTCCACTTCTCACCTTCAAACAACTACCAAACCTCAAACAGACCATTATTGACTGCAAACAACCCACCCTTCAGGACAACATCGACCACAACACCACACAACCCCGGCATGGCAACCTCTGCAAGACATATCAGATCATTGACTCGGATACTACCATCGCATGTGGGAACACATTGACGGCAGATACTCGTGACTCAGTCACTGTTGCGTATCTCATACACTGCAGGCAAGGATGCCCTAAGGCATGGTATATTGGCGAGACCATGCAGATGCTACGACAATGGATGAATGGACACCGTGCAACAATTGCCAGATCAGAAAATACCCTCTCGATCGGGGAACACTTCCGTGGTCAAGGACATTCAGCCTCCGATCTTTGGGTAAGCATCCTCCAAGGCAGACTCCCATGATACACAACGCAGAACTGCCGAGCAGAAACTGATAGCCAAGTTTCGTACCCATGAAGACACCCTCAACCGTGATCTTGGATTCATGTTGCACTACAGGTGATCCCACCACTGTATAATCACCACTGTATCTGTATAATCTTCCTTACTTTCCTGTTTTGACAAATTGATAAATTATGATCGCTCTACCTTAATTGGTTTGTACAGTCTTGACACATGCTCGCTCTCACGCAAGTATATAAATCTATAGGGTGAATCATTTCATCCAAAACATTTGTTTATTTGCACATACATTCTATTTTGTTCAATAAAACACAATTTGTAGTCACAGACAGTCAGTCAGTGTGACATCTTATAAATTCCAGTTTTCGGAATAAAATCAGCCTTATTCCAGGTTAAAACTCTGAGACAGATTCTGAACAAAGCCTCACACCTATAATTCAGTTGACCTGAGATGTCATCTTCCTAGTCTCTCCCTGATTATGATGATAGCACAGCACTGACATTAACTTTATAAACACTTTACACGCTGTGTTACATGTTTAGTAACCTGCAGAGACTTACCATCTGACACTCCATTCACACCAGTTGTATGATATTTTGATCTCTCTGCCCTTGATGTATCTGCCAATAAACTCTGTCTGTGTGCCCTGCTCTCTTACTGCACCTGACGAAGGGCTTGTGTGATTCCAAATAAACCTGTTGGACTGTAACCTGGTGTCATGTGACTTCTCACTTTGGCTAACCACCGCCACATCATGGCAACAACAAAGTCTGATTGTAGCTGTTCATATGTGCAAACTCTCCAGCGAGAATCACTGGCTATTGATCGCGAGCAGAAGTTACTGGGATGCCATCAAGAGCTGGATTCCTGGCTCGTTTTCTGTCAGTGCCATTAACAAACTAAAATTAAGTTTCTACCTATCGTAACACAGAGAAAGAGGGACATATTCTCAGGCAACAATATAATTTGAAATCAGGATACGTTAGTTAACTTCTCAAAATACTTATTTCTGCCTTGAAGCATAGATATGGCAACGCATCACCCTCTACATTAGCACATTGTTGCTGTCTGTTGTTCCCCAGTAAAGGATAATTTCACTGGTCACACTGAATTGTCCAGTTGCCTTGGTTGCATCTCCTAATGTTCTTTTAATAGAAATTAATGTTGAAACCACTTTAAAATATACAAATTTTGAATATTTCTGTTTTTTAGAATGCAGAACTCTGTTAGAAACCATTATCTCAGTTTTAACAAAAGTTTGTTCTGTTTTACAGACGACAAAGGGAGCCTCGTCATTCAGAATAACCCGTGGCATAGAAGCTGTTGGAGGCAGTCTGAGGTAAGTGTACTTATTTTACATTTTCTGCTTAATGTGTAATCACTATGATGATCAGGAATGGATCACCGTCCCCCACAGTCTCAAAAGCAGGTAGTCCTAGCTGTGTGCGTAACATTCTTGCCTCTAAGTCCAGAAATTATAAATTCAAGTCACGGTCCAGAGAGTTGAGCACATACTGCTGGCTGACATTCCCAGTACAGCTGTAAGACAATGCTGGATTGTCAGAGGCACAGTCTTTTGGGTAGGACATTGACTGAGGCCCCATATGAGTTGGACATAAAAGATTTGCATAACACTATTCAAAGAAGAGCAGGGAAGTTCTCATTAGTATTTATCATTCAATCAATATTACTTTCTATAAAAGACAGCATATTATCTAATTGATGTTTATGGGACTTCTGTATGCAGTTTGGTTGCCCTGTTCTCATTAACAGTGACTACATTTCAAAACATATTTAATCAGCAGTAAATCACTTTGCAATGTCCTGAGGTTGTGCAAAACACTATGTTAATACAAATTATTCTTTTCTATTCTGAGCGTCAGATTTTGCATGGGTGAAGTGCTGAACAAAACCATCCTGTGCTCTGTGACTGCCAGCAGTATGTTCTATTTGCAGAACTTTTTTCTGCACCAGCTTTTATTGCCTTTTCAAATTAACTTGTCTGTTTAAGTACAAATAGTAACAAATCTTTTTCTGCTGGGAACTGGCTCAGAGTGGGCAATGTCATCTCACACTGCACACACTAGAATCTTTCATTTCAGCAACATGGGGGTATCTCCCAACCTCCCAGTTTTTGGAACCGAACATCCAATTTATGAAAATCGTCCAAATCCACTCAGCTTGATATGAATTTTTAATTCCTGAAAATCTTATTGCAGGACAAGTTTAATACCTTTAAATTCAATGTGCGTCTCGTTGAAAACAAACACATGCCACTTTTTAATCCTGACTATTTTTCTACACTCCTAATTATTTGAATTTTCTGGTGTTGATGTGCATTGGGTTGATTATTTGCTAGAACCATTTTAAAGCGGGTTTACAAAGACCTTTCTGAGTGCAGCTGACTTTAGTCTGTTACACCCTGAAATTATTAACCATTTCTACTATTGCAGTGTGACGTCTACAAGGGAAAACATGATCTATGCAGTGGAATGTATGCGCGACTATGTGTGAGTATTTCATACGTTTCAGAGGTGGCCTCTGGTTTTTGCATATTTTGAAAGTTGGGGGTTTTATGCAAATCATTCTTGGTTAACACACAGGAACAGGAGGAGGCCATTCAGCCTTTCAAACCTGTTCCACAATTCATTAAGATCATGGCTGTGTGACTTAACCCCGTTTTCCTGTCACAGTTCTCTTCTTTTATTCCCATATCTAACAAAAGTCTAACAATCTTAAATTTAAAATTATTAATTAAACTAGTATCTACTTGTTTAGCTTTGCTCTAAATTTTAACAAAATCCTCAATTGATGTTAAATAATTATCATATTTGCACTGAGCAGACTGTTTGTATAGTACTAACTGGTACAAATCCTTTCTGCCTCTTCTTGTAGTAAATGATAGTTTACAGTACAGTATTACCTACAGATTTGTACATGGATCTGTAATAACCTCGATTCCTTCCTCTGACTCGGCATCCATACTTGATTTTCATTTTTTAATCTTCGCCTTCTCCGGCTGACTTTACTGGCACATTTTCCCACGTTATGCAGAAAAAAATGTGAATGCAAATTGCTGTCGATAAGTAACCCCTGAACTTCTCCCCTCAGTGACACTGTAATGGAGTATCTGATCAATGTTACTGCTGCCCAGGAGTTCAGGACGTGGGAACTTTCGGAACTCCCTTCAAGACTGCAATTGGATAGAGCGGTTGCCTTTCAGAATCCACAAATAGGTGAGATTTGAAAGACCTGTTGGGCAGATATTAAAAGAGTTGGCCTCCGCAGCTGATGTTACTTGAAAATCAGTCCCATTGTAAAACTGCTTTGAGATCACCATTGGAGCCAGTGTTTGTTGGCAGCTGAATGAATTGTTTAGTGAGGTCTGGGCAGCCGAGTAAGGGTCAGGATCCTTGCAAATTGAGGCATTAAACATAGTTCCGTAGCTTATCCTCCCAGCACGTAAGAACTAGGAGCAGGAGTAGGCAATTCAAACTTTCGAGCTCGCTCCACATTTGTTACAGTCATGGCTGATCTCATCTTGACCTCACCTCCGCTTTCCTGCCTGCTCTCCATAATCGTACAACTCATTACTGTTTAAAACAAATCTATCTCCTCCTTAAATTTATTCAATGTCCCAGCATCCACTGTACTGTAGGGTAGTGAATTCCACAGATTCATGACTCATTGAGAGAAGTAATTTCTTCTCACCTCTGTTGTAAGTCTGCTATCCCTTATTCTAAAACTTTTGTTCTAGGTTGCCCCACATGAGGAAGCATCCTTTCTACATCTACTTTGTCAACCCCTTTAATATCTTCCATACCTCAACTATATCTCCTCCAATCTTCTAAACTCTAGAGATTATAGGTCTAAACTGCTCAATCTCTTGTGATAAAACAAACCTCTCTTCTCTGGAATCCATCTTGTGAATTTCCTCTGAATCGCCTACAATACAACTACATTGCTCCCCGTGAACTATATTCTCTGAAGTGTTATGAGTTAACTGGAAAGAGCATGCCAACAATACTGTCCCACTGTTCCAAAAACAGCCACAAAATACTTAAGTATATAAAATAGCAACGGGACTGCAAAATGACCAATTTGCCTGACTCTTCTTTTCCTGAGTGGCAGTCAATTCACACACGGTTTCTTGAGGTGTCAGAAAATAATAACTGTTCATTGTAACACACGTAAAATTAAATTAAGTAAAAAAATAGGATTTCTAATCTATGCAACTTAGACTATACCCCTTCACAAACCCATTGATACCTCTTAATCACAATTAAGGAAAAGGTCAACTGGTTTAACATCTATACAATGGATGGAAAAAAAAATAGACAAGGTAAGAAAATTCCAAAGATCAAAGGTCCATACCACCAGCTGGAAAGTTATTTTTCTCTCTGTCCTTTTCATTTTTGCAGTGATGATAGGCTGTTGCCTGAAGGGTCGTTCTTCAGTTTGATGGTTAATCAGGTGAACTTGGGTCTTTTCTTGTCAAAGACGAGAACAAAGAACAATACCGCACAGGAACAGGCCCTCCAAGCCTGCGCCACCACACGTTGCCCGTTCATACTAAAACTGTCTTCACTTACAGGATCCGTATCCCTCCATTCCCTTCCTATTCATATATTCATTCAGGTGCTTCTTGAATGTTGCTATTGTGTCTGCTTCCACCACTGCCTCTGGCAACACATTCCAGGCACTCACCACCCTTTGTGTGAAAAACTTGCCTCACACATCTCTTTTAAACATCCTCCTTCACACCTTGAACCTGTGTCCCCTAGTAATTGACCCCTCCAACCCAGGAACAAGCCTCATACTTTCCATTCTACCCATGCCATTCACAATCTTATAAACTTCTATTAGGTCGCCCCCTCAACCTCCTGCGTTCCAGTAAAAGCAAACCCAGTCTAGCCAACCTTTATTCACAGGTAAAATCCCCCATACCAGGCAACATCCTGGTAAATCTTTTCTGTACCCTCTCCAAAGTTCTGGTAGTGTGGTGACCAGAACTGTATACAATATTCCAAATTTCCCAAAAAAAAAGGAAGGGGAGGCGATGGCCTAGTGTGATAATCACTGGACTGTTAATCCAGAGACCCAGATAACATTCTGGGGACCTGGGTTCGAATTTTGGAATTTGAACTCAATAAATATCTGGAGTTAAGAATCTAATGATGACTGTAAATCCATTGCTGATTGTTGGAAAAACCCATCTGGTTCACTACTGCCCTTTAGGGAAGGAAACTGCAATCATTACCTGGCCTGGACTACATGTGACTCCAGACCCACAGCAATGTGGTTGACTCTTAACTGCCCTCTGGGCAATTAGGGATGGGCAATAAATGCTGCCTAGCCAGTGAAGCCCTCATCCCGTGAATGAATAAAGGAAGTGTGGCCTAATTGATGTTCTATAAAACTGCAGCATAACTTGTCTATCTTTATACTCAATGCCCCTTCCAATGAAGGCAAGCATGCCGTAGGCCTTTGTTACTACCTTGTCTACCTGCATTGCCACCTTCAGTGATTTGTGGACCTGCACACCCATACTTGTCTGCATATCAATACTCCTAAGGGTTCTGCCATTCACTGTATAATTTCCACTGTACTTGACGTTCCAAAATGCGATTAAATTTTAAATTCTGTCTTTGAGGCTTTCATTTTTGGTCTTTTCCCCATAAGGAGAGGGAGAAAGAGCGATGATGTGTTCCATCTGCAGCTTCTGGATGTTTCTTCCACTCTCTTGCTCTTGAAAATTACAGCTTTTAAATACTTTGCAACTTAACCAATAGAGAGCTGCTGTAGTAGAATTTCCTGAACTTGAAAGATTCTTGGTGTTGTTGCAATCTTGAATTCTCCCTCTTACTGCCTCCAAAAAGCAACATTGTACTACACAGCTCAACAATATGCAATGCTTGATTTTCAAGTTGCAAAACCTTAGTGGTACAGCAGTCCGGTTTACATTTCAGTTTATAGTTCCAAAAATATGAAAACATTTGAGATTTCTCACAGGGGCTGCTTTTACATCTATTTTTAGAGATCTGGCGGAAAGGTGATGGGCTGAATGGCGTGCTTCTGTGCTGTTAAATTCTTGGGATGTCGGAGTCATCTGTAAGGCTAACATTTGTTGCCTGTCCCTTAGTTGCCCTTGGGGAAAAGCAAACTTGAACTATTGCAGGCTATGTGGCAACAGTACCACTGGTTAGGCAATTCCAGGATTTTGAGTTAGCAACAATGGAAGAGTGACATTATTAATTTGATGTTAAACCGGCATGCCACAGAAATTCAGACTTTTGTTGTTAATAACCATATTTTGTACTTGGAATGTAAAACTTTGCCTTCAGGGGTAGTTAATAGAATCCCTCGTGTGGAAACAGGCCATTTGGCCCATTGAGTCCACAGCAAACCCTCTGAAGAGCATCCAACCCAGACCACACTGCCCGTCCCCGTCCCCGTCCCTGTAACCTTACATTTTCCATGGCTAATGTACATCTTTGGACTGTGGGAGGAAACCAGAGCACCAGTGGAAACTCACATGGACACTGGGAGAATGTGCAAACTCCACACAGACAGCTGCCTTAGGGTGGAATTGAACCTGGGTCCCTGGCACTGAGCCACTATGCCATTCATAGTTAAGTTGAATAACTTTAAGGAGAAGCTGTGTAAAGCATTGAGTTACAGGGAGAGGCTGGTACTTTTTCACTGGAGCGTAGGAGGTTGAGGGGTGACCTTGTAGAGGTTTTTAAAAACATAAGGGGTACAAATAAGGTATGTTCTTCCTAGGGTGGGGGATTTCAAGACTAGGAGGCATATTTTTAAGGTGAGCGGAGAAAGACATGAGGGCAACTTATTTACACAGACTGGTTCATGTGTGGAATGAACTTCCAGAGGAAGTGGTGGATGTAGGTACAGTTACAACATTTAAAAAACATTGGGATAAGTACATGAGTAAGAAAGGTTTGGAGGGATATGGGCCAAGTGCAGGCAGCTGGGACTGGTTTAGTTTGGGGTCATGGTCGGCATGGACTTGTTGGACCAAAGAGTCTGTTTCTGTGCTGTGTAACTCTGACTATAAGAGAAAGGAAAGAACAGAAGGATATGTTGATAGTGTGAAATGAAGTGAGGAAAAGACCATGTAGAGTATTGACACTGGTCCAGACCAATTGGGTCAAATGATACTTGATTTAGATTGCTTCATGAGCAATTCTGTGTTCTTACTGTGGAAGCGGTTGTGAATTATTTTTCTTTTATAGGTGTTCTGGAGAATCTGCATTCAGCTGCTTATCGTAATGCCTTGAGCAACCCCCTGTACTGTCCTGGATTTATGGTTGGTCAGCACACAGCAGACCAGGTATGATCAAAACACAACACAAGCTCCACCTAAAGAAAATCTTTTAAAAGGAATCTTTGAAGCTTATCTCTAATGCGTACTTGACACAATGTCTCCACAGCTGCACGAATTTGTACAAAACAATTTTACAAGTGGAAGGATGGCTCTTGTAGGGGTGGGTAAGTGCCATATTAGCATAAGTTATAGTTTTCCATGTTCCTTTTTTTTGTGTTTGTCTTTTGGTGACTTCTTTGAATTACTGTTCCTGACTACATTTTCTGAAATACTTAATTGACTTTGAAGTGCTATGGAATGACTGATATTGTGAAAGAAATGCAAGTCTTTTAGTGCTTTCTGCTGAGCCTTTAAGAAACAGACTAGTATATTTTTCAAATCTGAGTTTAGCACGTTGGTATGTTAAAGCACTCAGTTGTTTACATTAAATTCTGCAGAGGCTGCACACTCTGTCACACTCCAAAGAAAATTCAAACGATAGATAATCAGGTTGTATTTTTCTAAATGTTCATCATTATAACAATGATCTGCTAAATTACAATTTATTTGACCAGATCAAAAGTAACCAAAATCATTTAAGATCTATTTTCCACAGGATACCATCCCAGCAGCCTCTAGGTGTTTTACTTTCATTTTGTTTTAATGCTAGTAGCTGTTTTGACATTTTTTAGGTTACCATACATTTGGATTGTGCATCCAGCATGCTTAAATTACTGCTTCTCTTTCTATTCACAGGTGTGAACCATACAGTATTGAAGCAAGTGGGTGAACATTACCTGAACATGAGGAGTGGTACTGGTGCAGCTGGTGTGGCGGCTAAGTTCCGTGGAGGTGAGCTTTGTGACTAATGTATGTAGGTAAAATGGTGTGGGTTTAATATCTATATCAGCATACTGTACCTACTAAGAAACTAATTGGAGTATATGGCCAATTTTAAGGTCTTCAACTTGAAGACATAAAAGACATAGTATGTTTTCTTATTTTTCCTGGAACAGGTTGCTAGTTTGAAGCCAAAGGTTATAACAACTCTGCGTAAAGTGTGGCTGACCACGAGGGTCTCCCACTCTTGCTGCCAGCCATAGACATGTTGGAATAATCTGCAGGTTGATAATCAATTTGTTTGGCTACATTATGAATGTACCTTCTGTGTGGGACTCGAAATTGGAGCTTCTGGCTTAGATGCTGGGATGCTTCCTCTTGTGCCTCAAAATGTCTTATCAAGGTGTTTGCTTTTCTGATAATTAAATGCAGGAGTTGCATCCTTAGGTGAATAAAGCAGACAGAACATCTTCCCTCTGGTAACTACAATACCATGTAATTTTACTACATGTATTTTGGGCTATATGGTAAATTGTCTCTGCACCAGTTTGTCTCAGTTGGGCTGTTGAATCCCTACATGAAGAATATTAACTAACTTCACATTTTAAAAAAAATCTGTCGTATTAATATTGTTATAGCATTTGGTCCTTAAGCCCTAAAACTTTTCTTCTAAACACACACACTCTCCTCCCTTAAACTGATCTCTTTCTATGAGCTCTGGGTGACCTGTCTTGATATCTCCTTATGCAATGTAGCCTCCATTGAAATGATGTTATTCTGTCCCGCTCTGAATTTATATGGTCCGGTCTGTCATGGTGGGCAGTCTTGTTTCTGGTTTTGTACTGTAGTGGTATATAGATGGAGTCTATTTCAACATGTTTGTTTATTGCATCGGTGGTTGAAAAGCAGGCCTCCAGGAGTTCTCGTGCTTGTCTTTGTCTTGCTTGTCCTAGTACTGTAACTTTGTCCCAGTTAAATTGATGTCCTTCTGTTGAAACGATGGAGAGTTGGTCGTGTCGTTTTGCTGCGAGTTGGTGTTCATGTATTCTGGTGGGAGTTTCCTGTCCTATGAAGTGTTTCTCGCAGTTGCTGCATGGTATTTTATATATCACGTTTGTCCTGCTTATTGTGGGTATGGGGTCTTTCGATTTTGAGAGTAACTGGCAAAGTTTGGCTGTTGGTTTATGTGCTATCCTTATTGCAAGAGATCGTAGGAGTCTTGTAGTCAGTTCTGATGTGTTTCTAATGTAGGATAGGGTAGCCAGTGTGTTAGGGTGTCGTGTTTTCTTGGTGTTATTTGTCTGCCAGGCATCAGCGGACAAAGCTGTTAGGATAACCATGTTTACAAAAACTTTGTATAGATGTTCCTCTTCGTTTTTGCGCAACTCTGGGATGTTGCAGTGAGTTATTGCTCATTTAAACAGAGTCTTGACACAGCTATATTTATGGACACCTATGTGTAGTCTTTCTGTACATGCTGGTAAGGAATTCACCGTTGTTCGTTCGTTCGTTCCACCATTACATCTAGTAATGACAGAACAGTAGTGCTTCAACAGAGGCTACACAGCACTGAAGATGTCACCTAGAAGGGAGATGAGACGTTTACATGAAAACCAGTCAACTCAGCGAGCCAACCAACAACTCCAACCACAACCCGAGCTACAGATCGTTGCTAAAACATTAAATCTCCAAATGGAATTTGGTGTCAAATTTTGTTTGGTAAAAACCTGTGAAGCACCTTACTATGTTAGAGGTACTTCATAAATGCTATTCTGCTCCCCAGTAACGGATCTCAATTTCTCCCTTTTCTTCAATGATGGTAATAAACCCAGAATTTTCCCTTCTCTGAGACATTATGATTTCTGGTTGAATTCTTCATATTAAATAGAGGGGAGAATCGAATTGCATGCATTTTATTCCATTTAGTTTTCTGAAAATATTAGTTCAGACTATTACCAAAGAAAAATATTAAGTGTTACTTCCTTATGAATACTTTCTAATTAATTTGCTGTTTAATTTTGGCCATACCATATGGACATTAAAGTCCAATTCGGGTGGTGCAGATTAAACAAGCAAAACCCTTTATCAGCAACTGTGTTTTGAAGTATGTTTCTTGTATTATTTAAATCTTTAAGGATTGTTACAGCAGAAATATCTTGCTGTTAGTGTATGTGCATGAGAATATGTTTAGTTATAAATAATTCATACCGTTCCTAAAGAAAGCTGCCATTCTGTTAGCTGAAGTGGAAATTAGTCAGGGTAAAGTCCATTTTGCATAAACTGCGGCCTTTAATTGCAGGTGAAATCCGTGATCAAAATAATGACCATCTGGTTCATGCTGCTGTGGTAGCTGAGAGTGCTGCCTCTGGTACACCTGAGACCCGTGTGTACAGTGTTCTGCAGAATGTTCTTGCTGCTGGTCCATACATCAAAAGGGGCAGTAATGTGTCCAGTAAGCTGCATCAGGCAGTGGTGAAGAAAAATGCGGATCTATTTGATGTGAGTTTTGCTCCTGCATTAAATTACATTTTGTATTTTGAATCCACTTTTATTTTTAACCGTATTTCATTTTGTATTCCTATAAATAGGTTTCGGCATTCAGTGCAAGTTACTCTGATTCCGGACTGTTTGGTATTTACACTATCTCACAGGTGGATTCAGCGAGCGACGTATGTATAATCAACGCCATAAATTTTTAGCCAAAATCTGCCAGCTTTTAAATGATTGCCCAGCTGCTATTGTTTAGTTCAAGGAAGCTGCAAATTGTAGCAATAACACAATGATCTGTAACTCACATTTATCATATTTGCTGGAAAATCAAGATGGACTGAACAGGTGGGGGTTCTTTTTCTTAGGAAGGAAAAGGGCAGAGGATGATCTGATGGAAGTCTTTTAAAACAATTGAGAAATTCAGTGGAATAGACAAAAAGATGATGTTTCCACTTATGAGGCAGGATCCACAGTGAGGGATCATGAATATAGTAAAATCACTGATAAATTCAATAGTGAATTCAAGAGAATCATCTTTACTCAAAGACTAACAAATGTGGAACTCACTGTGACTTTATATGTCTTAGGCAAAACAGCACAGATGCAATTCAACAGAAGCTAGATGAATACCTGAAGGAGAAAGGAGCAAAAAGTTATATTATTAGGGGAAGTGGAACATAAGCCTGCTGGGCCTAATGGTCTATGTTGTAAATTCTGAACAACTTTTCATGTACTCAACATAACTGCAATTCCAAGTGTCACCAATGATTAAAATTTTGACATGCTAGTTAATTTCTTGTAGCATTGTACATAAGACCAAATGTAATTTTTACATAAAAGACAGGCCAGAGAAGTAGCAGCACAAAGGTAAAGTACTTCGTTGTAAGTGAAGAGAGTACAGGGTAATTAGAACAAGGTTTTCCAATGTAATTTCACTAACCTTAAAGTAATACATTATCTTCTTATAAAACTGAATTACCCTTAGAAAATATTACTGTTTGCTTGATTGGCTATAAAGCAACTTGGGACATCTCAAGACTGTAAAAATTATTACATAAATGTAAGTTTGTCATTTGTATAACAGTATCTTTGCCAATTTGGACTGTAGAGAGGTCATTGGTGGGAGCATGAGTATCCCAGCAGAGCAGGCTGAGGGATTTAACTGAGGTGCTACAGCACACCTACTGACAGGAGGGTGTAATTACCAGGTGACATTCTTACAGAAACAGTTTGCATTATTGTAATGGACATAATTTTTAAAGAAAATGTCTGACAGGAAGTTGGTGAAGGATTATGATCCTTAGTACATATTACAAGTTAAGAGAAAGTGTACTTTCTTATTAGTATCAATATTTTATACCGATTTGCTTTTTTACTTGTCTTTAAGCAGTTTGGTAGATATTTCAATTTTAATCCAATGCTCTGATTAGCAATTGATCAAAAGAGGACTGTATTTTAGTAGGATGGTTGGTAATAATCAAAAACATTTTTGGTTTTGATTTGAATTTTTTTGATGAAAAATGTAAACTTTTAATTGCAGGTAATCAAGGCTGCAGTGTCTGAAGTTAAGAACATTGCTCAAGGCAATGTCACTGAGGCTGATATCGCAAGGGCCAAGTAAGCTGCCGGCTGTTTGTACAATAGAATGCTTTAATAAAGTCACATCTGGGGCTATCAAGAGTAAACCCAATGATGTGGACTATAAGTAAAAAGAAAATGCTGGAACACTCAGCAATTTAGGTAGCATCTATGGATGGAGAGACCGATTTAAGGTTCCAGTTTGATGACGTATCTCTAGAGATCAATGAATCCCCATGAAGAGAGACCCAGGAACAAGTGAACAAGCAGGAGAGAGTGGGGTGATCAGGGAAAGAAGAAAGAAAAATAAGTTGAATAAAATGCTTAGATTACAGAATTGCACAGCACAGAAGGAGGCCATTCAGTACATTGTGCCTTTGCCAATATTCTTAAAGGGCTTTCCAGTTAATTTCAATGTCTGTCATAGCTTTGTGCAGATTTTCCCATTAAATATATTTCTAATTCCCTGTTTGAATTTGCTACCAAATCTACTTCAACCACTTGTTCAGGCAACAAATTCCAGATCATCATAATTCATATTTAAAAATAAATAATCTTGTGTCCTTCCCTGGTTTGTTTTCTGGTTACTTGAGATCTGTAATACCATGTTTGCCAACCCTTCTCCCAGCGCATTTACAGATTTGGACTCTGCTGCTAATTCAAATTGTTACAGAGCAGAGATGTATTCATGTTGTAACTATATCTGGTAAAAATCTAAACTACTGAATTAAAATTCTCAGTTTGAACATTGCTTCTTGTCATGGTGCAGTTTTGATGAACACTGAGTTTTTTTGCAGGAAACAATTAAAGGCCAAGTGCTTGATGACCGTTGAAACATCTGATGGACTGCTGGATGAGATTGGCTCTCAAGTATTGCTAACTGGTGCTTATGTGCCCACACCTGATCTGGTTCAGCAAGTTGACTCTGTGTCTGTTAATGATGTGGTGAATGTAAGTAATGTTTTTACTAACCATAAATAATAGTCACGTATTCTATTATCACTGGAGTCATTTCATCTCCCATTTCTCAAATGATGGCACTGAATATTTAAGTATGTGTATGTTCACAGCATGTTGGCAGGCGATTAGGGTTGGGGGAGGAGCAGCATGAGCATCACAGCTTGGTTCTAAACCCCCCACTTTCATCCCCTGCTCAGACACATAGACCTTCCAACAGTTCAAAAGCTTAGAGCCTGTGGCAAGAAAGCCCAAGCCCAAGTCCAAGCTGAAATATTTCACTCATTTCAATCTGTGGGATGCATGGACATCACTGCCCATAGTTTGTTCCCTGTGAGCACAGTACTGTCTCCTTGATGGCAATGGTGTTCCAGGTTTTCGAGACTTAGTTCATCCTCTCTTTCATCCCTGTCTTGGCACACACAACCTCCCAATACATCAACAGCAGAGTGCTAATGTCCAGTAAAGGGTATGGTAATCTTAGGTTAGACCTGAACCAACATTGTGCAACTGTATCTTAAAGAAATTAGCAGACTAAACATAGTCTAGATATGCAAAGCCACATCTTTCTGACTGTTCCACTCATTTTGACTTGTCAGAGCTACTCAGTCATCCTCTTATGCTTTGAGGTAGCTGGATTAGTATGTACTGTGTTGGCTCATGTGCTTTGGGAAAAGCCTGTATTTTATTTTCATGTGATGTCTCCTTTGAGACTGAGGTGAACATTCTCAAAGAGGGGTAATTAGCCTCTTGACTATGATTATCATTATATTCCAAGAAATGCCCATGTGACCTGAGGATGCCATGAGATGAAAAACTAAGAAGCAACGGCTAAATAGAAATTTAATTGTAGTGGTGCCATGTTTCGGCATGGTTTTGATTATACATAGCTCGGAATACCCACAATTGGCGATAGTGGAAGCAAGCAAGGTTCTCTACAATTGGATTTCTGTTTGGCAGTTCAGAACAGATCCTTGTGTTGAACCAGATCCCTGAGAACAGAGTGAAGACTATTGTTGTGTTAGAAAGGATAGAGAACTAAAGATAGGAAGAGCAAGGGATGGTGAATTCGGCCATTGCAGCTCTTTCATGTCACCAGAGCCTACCAGACTGTTTGAAGGGGTTGTAAAAAGAAGTCTCTGGGATTATGTACCATCGAGATGCCAGTGACCCCAGAGTGGGTTTCCAGATATAATACACCTTGTCGGTGTTCACTGTATGCAGAGTCTTTAGATGGGGAAAAATAAATAGCTGCTGTGACTCAAGGCTTAAATCAGTTGACTGGGAACTGAAAGATCCTGCATCACACAGGCTGAGTTGGAAAGATTGAGACTGCATGCAATGCGATGTTTATACAAGAAATAATAGGAATGCTTGAGACATATCTTTGTATTATGTATTTAAAATGCAACTCCTCTTTTTAAAAATATTAGTTAATGTTTGAATTATGTTTTTAGTTGGCTTGTTACAGAAAAAAATTAAATGACATTTTTGTCAACATCAGTTTTCTTTCTAATGCTGTTGTGAGAATTCCTTTCTTTTAAAAGTGATTGGTCTCTATGGGGATTATAAATGTATGTGGTGTCTAACGGTACTTTACTCTAGCAGGGGGTTGCAGTTCAACTTCTGTCCTGCACTCCACAGTTTGAACAGTGGGTATTGGGGAGCAGGGTCACTGTGGGCACTGGGGAGTGCTGTAGGTATTCATACCTCAAACTGTCACTCTGATAGCAGGCAAAAGAAAGGAAATATTTAACTCATTCAATAACAACTTGCACATACATGGTACCTGTAAAAAAAAAAAGCAAAACACCCTCAACTGGCCAGCTAGATCTCAAATTTGGAAATATAGTTGACATTGGATTTTGAAATTGTTATTTAAGTGACTTATTCCAGAGGGAGGACCTTGCCCAGAGACTTGTGATGTCATATTTCAGCCACTAGAGCCTAATACGTTCTCTCTTTGCTTTACAGGCTGCAAAGAAGTTTGTTTCTGGTAAGAAGTCCATGGCGGCCAGTGGCAATTTGTCTAACACACCTTTCCTTGATGAATTGTAAATTTATTCTTTTAAATGACCCACCTATTAGAGCTGTATTGGCATTGTAACTATTAATAAAATATATCGTGGCCCTTGAACAGGCTCATCATTCTTTATTCACATACCAATTGTTCACAGGAGGAAAGAAACTTCTGAATTTTAATATTTGAAGAATCTTTGTATGGTAGTACTGACACTTCCCTGTGCAACTTTTTTTTTCTGTCAACAAACTAAGAATTCCCTTGCTTAACTGTATATCCTGCCTTGTGCTGAATACAACTCATTCTTTAAACTTGATGCAAGCACTAGCACCATATGCTGGTGAAGGGGTATGCTTCTGGCTGTCATGTGGGCAAGGTTCTTATCTGCTTGGTGCAATTGCCTGCATTCTGCTAAAAAAAAAAGTCACCCTGCTTCCAACAGAAAGTTGACCATAATCCATGCTGGAAGCAAATGGAAAGGTTAACAAGGCCATAAAAATTCAACAAAGCAGTTGGGTTCATTTCTGAAGGAATAGAATTCAAATGCAGTGAAACTATTTTGCAGTCACATAGAAACTTTTTTTAGACCACGTTTTGCACAGTTTTTGTTTCCAAGTTACAAAAATGATTTCGAGAAGATGCAAAAAGGTGATACTGGAACTTGAAAGGTTGGAACCATTAGTTTTGAATGGGCTAGGAAAAGAAGGCTGAGAGTAACCTTGAGAGAAAATCTTTCAACTTGTGGGGGAGACTAGAACTAAAGACAATAAATAGGAGAGTCACTAATAAATCTAAGAAATTTGGATGAAACCTTTTCAGCCAGAGAATTTAAAGAAATTGGAACTTGCTACTATTAGGCAAACGGCATAGATACATTTAAAGGGATATTAAATAAACATGAAGAAAGGATTAGAAGAATATATTGACAGGATTAGATAAAGAGGAATTGGAGGTGGTCTCTATGGAGCATGGTCACTTTAGACCAATTTTTGTGCTATAAATTCTGTCTTTAGAGAAAGTGCTATTTAGCCATCTTGAAATAGAATATTCTCTTTGTTGGTGAGCGTTGTCAATGATTGTGTCCGAACTGGAAGATCCTGTCATCTGATCTTCTGTTGAGGTAGAAGTTTCTGAGTCTGTGTCGTTGGATTGTGTGAAAGTGTTCAAGGATCCACTTTTGGAATTCTGTGACGGGGATTCAGACCTGGGGCTAACAGTACTCTCTAGGGTAGTGGTAATGGTTGTAGATTCAGTGGTGTCTATCTTCTCACCCTGCTCCTCCCCCCCTAGCTGTTTTGGATGTGGAATGGGACCCTGTTGGGGTAAATTATCCAAAGGATTCTTGCCACCAATGGAGCTCGAAGTTTGAATCCAGTCCAAGTCTGTGGACGATGAAGAGGACGATGTGGAGCTTGTGGTATCTGACTCTGCAGACCACAGCGGGTGAAGATTAGGGATGACCTCCTCATCATCATTGGAAATGACATAATCGTCAAAAGCCTGGTGCAGCACTATGTCACAGCCAACATGGGGGCCAACCAGGAGTACATTCCGATTCTTTTTTGGTGCATGCCATGCTCTGGAGATGGGTGGGATGTATATACCTTTGTCATGCCAAAATAAGGAAAGGGGCTTAAAGTTCTTGAACTTTACTTTAGTGTGTTCATCATTGTCCTCTTCATCACTGCTGCTTGACCAGTCTTCTTCCTCATTGCTGAATTGAATGCTGGAGAGAAAAGAAAGACTTGCATTTTTACAACAGCTTTTAAAAACCTCAATTTTCCAGAATGCTTTACACCTCATGAAGTGGTTTTGCACTGTAGTCACTGTTTAAAAGCAAAACTAAATTTTTCACAATTGTAAATACTTGACACTGAGGGAATATAGGTTTTGTTTTTCAAGTGAGAAAAGGCCCAGTTTAGTCATTCTGTCTTCATATGCCATTCCTTTAAATGTACTGTGATTGATGGTGCATTTTTGTACCATTCAATAACTCAATATCCTTTCTAAAATAAGTGAAATTCAAACAGTACCCCAGATGTGGTATCACCAGGGACAAATACAACAATTCAGTTCATATTTGGATTCATACAAGAAAAGTAACTGGCAAAACTCAGCAGGTCAGCAGCATCTGTGGAAAATAACAGAATAAATGTTTCATGCCAATGATTTATCATCAAAATTGAAGAAAGATAGAGATGTAAAAGATGGATGGAGTGGAGAAACAAAAGTTGTATCCAAATGAGGCATGGCTTGTCACATAAAAGCCATTTGACTGCAACATGAAAGGATAAAGAAACAAGATGAAGACCAACCCACCAAAACAAAAAAAAACAAGAAGGAAGCTGGGTATATGATCTAAAGTTGTTGAATTCTGTATTGAATGTAGAAGGCTATAAAGTGCCAAGTTGAAAGATAAGGTGTTGCACTTCAAACTTGAGTTTTACTGGAACACAGTAGCAGACCATGGAGTGAGAGATCAGCATAGGAGCAAGGTGGAGAACTAAAATTACTAGAAACATTATCTCTTTATTTGCACAAATGCTGTCTAATTTGCTTTTTCTTCTTGTATCAGATTTCCAGCAGTGACAGTATTTTGATTTTGTAATAGTATAGTACATTTAACAGTAAAACATATCAAATTTATCCCTTTTTATGCATCCTAAAATTCTGTTTATTCATACCAGCCTGGGAATATAATGCTGGCTTAATAACTCCATCGCTCTCCTGCTCCAGTATTTCGTATAGTCCCACTTAGCACATTACAGCTCATTGAGACTATACTCAAGAAGAATGAGAGGTGATCATATTGAAACACAAGATTATATTGTGTTTGCCAAGGTAGATGATGGGAAGATATTTCTTCTCATAGGAAAATGGAGAACCAGATAGAGGCACAGTTTCAAATTAAAGTACTTAAGATGGAGATGAGAAATTTCTTTGCTCAAAGGGTCATTAGTCTTAGGTGGCATTCTCTTCCCATATACATTCAAAACTGAGGACATATTTTGAACAACCAGGGAGTTGAGGGTTGTGTGAGATAGGCCCACTTCATTGGCACCCCAACTGCCACCTTAAACATTCAGTCCTTTCACTACTGATGCACAGTGGCAGCAGTGTGTACCATCTACAACATGCACTGTGGTAAGTCAGCAACACTCCTCTGACAGCACCTTCCAAACCCGTGACCTCTACCACCTAAAAAGACCAGGGTCGTGATGCAGGAAAACACCACCAGCTGCTGAGTTGAAACTCGTTGCTGTTTCTTCATTGTCATTGATTCAAAGTCCTAGAATCCCCCTCCTATTAACACTGTGGGTATCCATACACTCCAAGGGTTTCAGTAGTTCAAGAAGGCAAATCAATGTCGGGTTGAGCCATAGATACTGGCCTAGCCTGTGACATTCAGATCCCGTCAATGAATTTTTCAAAAAGTGGAAATAAGGCCACGATTAGATTGATCATAACCTTATCAAATAATGGAGTGTGTTCAATGAGCCACAGGCTGATAAAACAATTTACTCTTTACTTGTTCCCAAAATTTAATATAGTTCTGCCCAGAAACTGAACCATTAAATATTTAAGCAGTACCTCTCGTTTGAATGTGTAGTCATTGGCTGTGTTTTCCAGGTATCTGGGAGGTCTTTATAATTTCTGTACACAGTAAGTTGCAGCTGAGTTCCCATTGGAATTTCGCCCACTAGGCGGCGCAATTCCCGCAGATTGTGGCCCAGGACATTTTTGCTGCCGATTTTAACCAGGATGTCTCCTATTTGTAAATACAAATGAGCAAGAAAAATGAAAGGAGAAAGGAACACACTGACAAAAATGAACACACTGTGCAGATTTCCCTTTTCCACCCTGCCATTACATCATCATACCAAACATAGCAAATCTATAGACGTTTAAATAAGATTATCTATTGTTATGAAGATGGTTTATATTTAATATTGTTTGGACAACTTAAGTTTTGAAGGACTGTGAAAAATTGATTCCTAGAAATTGCATGACTGGTGATAACTGCTTCGCTGTAGACCCCCTTACTGGGCTCCTTTTAAACAGTGACTAGTTTGGACAGTTCTTATTTTCTTGTTCAATTGAAGAAGCTGAGTTGGAGGAAAGCCTGCTGAGAACCAGCTGAGTTGGAGGAAAGCCTAATAAGCTAAATTGGAAGAAACCCAGTTACGAACACAAACAGAAATTGCTGTAAAAGCTCAACAAGTCTGGCAGCATCTGTGAAGAGAAGTCAGAGTTAACGTTTCAGGTCCAGTGACCTTTCCTCAGAACTAATGGTAGCTAGGAAAACATCAGTTTTTATGCAGGAGATAGGGGGGGGGGAGGGGGTACGGAGTAAACGATAGGTGGGGTTCGAGCCCAAAGAGAGAGAAGAACGGTTGGACAGACAAAGGAGTGGATAACAATCTGGCTAGGACAGTGAATAGCTATTAATAGAGACTAACAATGGCTTGTATTTAATAGCAGACTGTGATAACAAGGCATGGTGTGTGAGGCTGGGGGCTAGGAGAGTTCAAACCTGAAAGTTATTGAAATCGATATTGAGTCTGGAAGGCTGCAGGGTCCCCAAACGGAAAATGAGGTGTTGTTCTTCCAGCTTGTGCTGAGCTTTCCTGGAACACTGCAGCAAGCCTGAGACAGATGTTGGCCAGGGAACAAGGTGATGTGTTGAAGTGGCAGGAAACTGCAGGATCAGGGTCATTTGTGCGGGCAGAACGTAGATGTTCTGCAAAGCGGTCACCCAGTCTATGCTTTGTTTCCCCAATGTAGAGGAGACCACATTGTGAACAGCAAATGCAGTAGACTAGATTGTGTGAAGTTCAGGTATAAGCACTGCTTCACCTGGAAGGCATGTTTGGGGCCACGGATACTGAGGAGGGAGGAGGTAAATGGGTAGGTGTTACACCTTCAGTGATTGCAGGGAAAGGGGCTGGGGATTGTTGGTAGTGAAGGAAAAGTAGACCAGGGTGTCCTGGAGAGAACAGTCCCTGCGAAAGGCAGACAAGGGAGGGGAGGGGAGTATGTGTCTGGTGGTGGCTTCTGGCTAGAGGTGGCAGCAGCTGATCTTCTGGATGTGGATGCTGGTGAGACTGTAGATAAGGAGAAGGAGAACCCTATCACTGTTAGGGGAGGGGAGGAGTTGAGGACCAAAGTTCGGGAGATGGGTTAGACCCAATTGAGGGCCCTGTCAACAAAAATGCTGGGGAATCCTCAATTGATGAAGAAGGTGGACATTTCAGAGGCTCCCTTGTCAAAGTTGGCATCATTGGAACATTGCCACGGAGATGGAAGAACTGGGAGGAACTCTATTCCATTCTCCCAGTTCCTGCCATCTTCTAGACTCAATAGTGAGTTCAATAACTTTAGGGCTTGAACTCTGCTATGTCCTAGACCTTGTACCCACACACACCAGGCCTTGTTATCACATTGTCTGCTATTACACACAACTTATTGTTAGCCACTAATAGTCTCCATTAACAGCTATTCATACTCCTAGCAAGATTGTTATCCACTCCTTTGTCTGTCCAATTGTTCTTCTCCCTCTTTGGGCTCTATCCCCGCCTATTATTTATTCCTTACTCCCTTCCCCCACCCTTTCTTCTGCATAAAACTGACATTTTCCTAGCTACCAACATTGTCAGGAAGGGTCACCGGAACGAAACCAAAACATTAACTCTGACTCGTCTTCACAGGTGTAGCCAGACCTGCGGAGCTTTACAGCAATTTTTGTTTGTTTCTGATTTACAGCATCCACAGTTCTTTTGGTTTTTATCCAGTTATGAACAAGCTGCCTAGCAAATCTCTCCCATTTCTCAACATGAAACCCTCTTGTTGAGTTCAGGATGAAACCTATTTCTTGTTTTCAAAGTGTGATTGAAAAATTGTCTCAGGCTTGTATTTCCTGAGCAATGTGTCTGCAAGACCTCAAAGGCAACAATGCTGGAACGTCAGTGCAACAGAGTCTGAAACATCCTATGTCCTTTTGACTTTTGAGAAAAACCCCATGGTCAAAATGTATTTTTTAGAAAATCAATCTTTGCAGAGAAATCTTTACTTTTCCTGAAAACTGAGGGTTTATTTATGTGTACATTTTGGTGATATTTAGAGGGATATATATTTATACTACAATATTATTGCATCTTTATTGAATAAGTTGTTTTGATAATGCAATAACTGCACAGAGGCCAGTATCCCATCACCAAGTCACCCTTTATTTACTTATACATAGTACACTGTCTGTGGCCAGCCAGCTCAGAATCAGTCCACTGATCTCCTGGTTATATTGGGAAGACAGGCTTTCCTGATTGGCCCAGGTTAACAACCTCAACCAAGGATTTTGTAGACAGCAAGGTCCACCTGGTTCCAATCACTATAGATAATAAACCCATAATTGTTTATTAAGAAGTCTGGTTGATAGAACTTCTTGCTTTCAATCCTGATATAGACAAGGTCTTTCATTAGCTATCTTGGTAACTGGAAAAGATATTTTTGTTCCATGCTTCGAGCTGTTGAATAGTGGTACTATAGTGACAATGCACTCTTCAGCTTTGATCATAACACTGTGGCTAGTCAGTAACTTCAGTTGCCAACACTGTGACTGGTACTCTTGGTATGTTCCATTACAGTTTCTCTTGTGCTGAAACTGATGGACCTATCCCTTGAGGCAATATTTTAATCTTTAATGTTGGATTAAAACCTGAATTTTTGTTCAGACACTCGCAGAAACCTTATTTGTAATTTATATAATTAATCCCCTTAAGTAGTTTAAGATTCATAGCTTCCAGATTCTGTAACATGCATTTCAATTTTGAATTATGCAGCATTGACATTTTCTATCTTAATTTCATGCATAAATTGAATGTATTAGCATAATTGAAATCTGTTATCCTAAGTAGCACATTGATTTTAACTGACAAATTTTTAAAGATGCAAATTTGGATATTAAATTAGAAGCTTAAAAAAAGGAGAAATAATTTTAACATTAAATATTCTCCCATAAAAATCCTTTATAAGTCTCTTACTCCATGGGAAGAGGATGCTATTCTTAGCTTTTTTCAGGTGACTCCTCAAATTTGAGGAGCCATTCAGATTGGCCAAACATCAGCCGTGACTCAGTAGCAGCTTTCTCAATTCACGTCAGAAACTGTGGGTTTAAGTCTCACTCCAGAGATTAGACCACAAAATCCAGGCTGACACTCACTGCGAAGGACTTTTGGAAGTGCTATCTTTCAGATGAGATGTTAAATGGAGGTGTTGTTTGCCTTCTCAGGTTAATATACCAATACACCATTTGAAGGACTTTTCCCAGATTAACTCTGGAAGGACAGCTGGTTTGCAATGCAGAATTTTTCCAGCAGTGGGGGTTCTGTTCCTGCATGAGGTTACCCATGAAAGACTCTCCTCCTCAACCAAGACATGGTGACTTTCAGGTGAAACCGCCACCAGCCAAATCTCTCTAATGAGAGAGCCAGCCCTTTTGTCTAGTAAAAGTATGGCAATTCTACCTTTATTCTATTTCTAAGAAGTACGGGTGGTTAGGTAAAGCCCTAAACAAAACCTTTAAAAGGATTACAATTACCTTTGGGGAGCGTTGCGGACAGAGGTGAACCTGTAAGAAGTACACACGGTAGGGAGGAGGTATATAGAGTCATAGAGATGTACAGCATGAAAACAGACCCTTCAGTCCAACTTGTCCATGCCGACCAGATATCCCAAATGAATCTAGTCCCATTTTCCAGCATTTGGCCCATATCCCTCTAAACCCTGACAACAGAGTCTGGAGCTGGAGGAACACAGCAGGCCAGACAGCATCAGAGGAGCAGGAATGTTGATGTCTCGGGTCGGGACCCTTCTTCACAAATGATTTTAATCGTGACTATGTTATGGTTTTCACTTCTATTTTTGGACTAACCCCGTTGCTCCCAACACAAGTGGAAAGACATATCTTTTTGTGATTTATTTTTTATTAATTCATGGGATGTGGCAAGGTTGGCATGGATTCCTCATCTCTTTTTGAGTAGGTGGAATGCTGGCTCACTTCAGAGGGTAATTAATATGGGTCTGAATGGCAGATTTGTTTTGATAAATGCCATGAGAATGAATTTTTATGATAATCTACTAGTTTCACATCCCCCATTTTTGATACTAGCTTCTATTTCAGATTTATTTAATTAACTGAATTGAACTTCCCACTTACCACCCTCCCTGCTCCCTTGGTCAACTGGTTTTGAAAGTGTAGTCATGTTTCATCAGATTTCTTGTAATAGATTATTTTGTTTTTAAATTACCTGGCTTTAGGTTTGCTGCTCTACTGCTGCCTCCGGAATTGTTCCCAATAATACTAACAATCTGCAGAAAGGATCCATGTTCGATCAGGACCAAACCCAGGCCGTTAACATCCTTTTTGATTAACGTATTTAGGCTGGGACCTAAGTTGTGTTCTGGAACGTCTTTCATATCTCCGACTGGTTCTGTAACACAGAATAGCCTTGTTTAACTCATGGGACTGTGGCTGTTACTATGTGTATCAGCTGCACACTCTAATATAACGAAGAAAGTGCAAAAAGTAGAGTCATAAGGATAAACTACAACTGTAACAGGAATGCTGGAACAGATTGGGGTTCTAATCTTAAAAAAAAAAGGCTGAGGGGTGATCTGATAAAGCCTTTAAAATTATAGCATAGGTGTAGAGAAGATGTTTCCATTGACAGGGAGTCTAAAATTTGGGGCCATCTGTATAAAACAGTCACTAAAAAATCCACTGAGGAATTCAGAAGAAAGTTCTCTTCCCCAGGGATTGAGAGTTGAAGGTGTAGACACTAAAACACATCAGGGAAGGTGAACATTACCTGCACATTTTATCCAAGAGGCTGTCATACTCCTGAAGATAGGGTTGTTCCATTTGGTCCATGTACAGGGAAAGGAGGGTGTGATTGTGAATGAGGCAAGTAAGGGGAACCAAGAAGATAGAAATGGAGGAGCCTCTGCCATGCATTTGTCCAATAGGTTTATGATTCTTGCAACCTGTATGGATGAAATTGGGTCACACCATGGATGAGTAACACACCATGGCACCAAAGTTCATGAAGCCATTCAAGCAGGGGCATTATAAGGAATATGGTGGTAGTACAGGGTGTCATATCAGGGAGAGAGACATTCTTCTCTGCAGCCAACAGCAACAGTCTAGAAAGCTGTGTGCTATCTGCCTGGTTCCAAAGTTCATGACTTATTCTTTGAGCTAGAGTCATCGAGTGAACAGACGGAAACAGGCCTTTCGGTCCAACTCATCTATGCCAGGTTTCCTAAACTGAACTAGTCCCATTTGCCTGTGTTTGGCACACATCCCTTTAAATCTTTCCTATCCATGTACCTATCTAAATATCTTTTAAATGTTGTAATTGTACTTGCCTCTACCATTTCATCTGGCAGCTCATTCCACACATGCACCACCCTCTGTGTGAAAAAGTTGCCCCTCAGGTTCCTCTTAAATCTTTCCCCTCTCACCTTAAACTTATGCTCTCTAGTTTTGGATTCCCTACCATGGGGAAAAGTAATTTGCTGTGGGATGGGGAGGATCCAATTGTCATGGTCCACATAGGTACTGATCACATTGAAAGGAAGAAAAGGGTTCTGTTTAGAGAGTATGAGCAGCTAGAAACAAAATTAAAAAACAGAAATTCTGGATTATTATCTGAGCCAAAAGCAAATTGGAGGTGCGTAAATAAAATTAGAGGGTTAACTCTATGGATCAAAGATTGGAGTGGGAAAAATGGGTTTCAATTCATGGGTTATTGGGAGAGTGGGAGCTGTACCACTGAGATGGTCTTCACCTGGACCATGCTGGGACTGATGAGTCATATAACTAGGGTGGTAGAGAGGGCTTTAAATCAAATAGTGGGACCAAGGGAAAAAGGGGGATCAAATGTGACAAATTAAAGGAGACAAGTGAGCAAGTAATAATAAGGTAAGATGTTATTGTGGTAGGAAGGGACAGAGCATACAAATAAGAGTGCCTCCACAAATAATTTATGAAATCAGTGCATCAGAGACAGGATCTTAGGTTGAACGATCAAGATGTAGGATCAGTACAGATGGGGAAAACAGCAAAAGGCAACAAATATTGGTAGGATTTAGGCCACCATGCAATAGTGGTAACGTAGGGCATAATATAAATCAGGAAATTACAGCACATGTAACAAGCAGTTATATAGGGGACTTCACATACAGACTGGATAAATTAGCACTAATGTTGTGTAGGAAAAACTCCTGGAATGTATAGTTTTCCAGAACAGTAAATGCATAAAATAGATAATGGGCCATTTTAGATCTAGTACGGTGCAATAAGAAATGGCTAACTAATAATTTTTGGTAAAGAAATTACTGGGATTGAAAATGGATTAATTACCTGGCCCTAATAACCTCAAGGTCATGAAAGAGGTGCCTGTTGAGGTAGTAAATACATTGGTTGTAATCTTCCAAAAGTATTATAAATTCTGGAATGATTCATGTAGAATATTCTATTTAAGAAAGGAGGATGAGAGAAATTTGGGAAATTGAACCTGTTAGCATAACATCAGTAGTAGAAAAATACAAGAATCAATTACAAAAGATATGATAACTGAGCACTTAGAAAATAATGTTAGAATTGAGCAGAGACAACATCAATTTGTGAAAAGGAAATCATATCTGACAAACTGATTAGAGTTTTTTTGATAATGTAACTAGCAGAGTAGGTAATGGGGAACCAGTGGATGTGGTGTATTTTGGATTTTGAAAAAACTTTTGAAAAAGGTTCCATAAGCACATGGAACTGGAGGTTATATATTGGCACAGAGCGATTCATACTCTGATTGGCAGGTTGTGACTAATTGGGTACTTTAATGTTTGAGCCCCAAATATTCACAACCTATTTTATTGATTTGGAATTAGGCATCAAATGTAATATTTGTAAGCTTGCTACTGATACAAAACTTGAAGGAAATGTGACTTGTGAGAAGGATGAGGAAAAGGCTTCAAAAGAATTTAAATAGGTTAAATGTGTGGGTAAGATCATGGCAGATAGAATACAACAACAAAAAATGTGGTTATCCACATGGCAGGAAAAACAGAAATCCAGAGCATTTCCTCTTCTCAATGGTGAAAGATTGGGAAGTGTTGCTATCCAAGGGGTCCTGTGTTTCTTTGTTCATAAGTCAGTGAAAGCTAAAATTCAGTTGCAGCAAGCAACTAAGTGAGTCAATAGAGTGTTAGCTTTTTATCCTGAGGACTTGAATACAAGAGCAAAGAGATTCAATTTTAAAGAACCTTGGTAAGCCTTCACTGGAGTACTGTGTGTTGTTTTAGTCGCCTTACTCAAGGAAGAATATACTTGTAATTTAGGGAGTGCAGTGAAGATTCACCAGACTGAACCCTGGGATAGTGGAATTAACCTGTGAGGGGAGATTGAAGAGACTGGGTGTACATTCTCTACAGTTTAGAAGGGCAAGAGATGCACTTATTAAAGCATTCATATTTCTTAAAGGGCTCAACTGGGTAAATGCAGGCAGAATATGGCTGTGAGCACAGAACAAGGGGACTAATGTCAGCATAAAAGGACATTAGGACTGAGATAAGGAGGAAGTTCTTAATTTGGAATGTGTGAATATTTGGAATTCTACCCCAGAGGCCTGTGGAACCTCAGTCATTGAGTATATTCTAGATAGAAATCAATAGATTTCTAGATGTTAAAGTTATCAAGGGACAAAGCAGGAAAATTGCGTTGAGCTACAATACCAGCCATGATCCTGAGGTGCTGAATGTCCAATTCTCCTTCTGTTTCCCATGTTGCCAGAAATGTGGAACTTGCTACCACAGGAGTGGGTGAAGTGAATAACACAGATGCATGTAAAGTTAGTCTGGACAAATACAAGAGAGAAGGGAATTGAAGAATAAGTTGATAGATTGAGATGAATAGAGGTGGAAGGAGCACATAACATATGGCACATAAACATCAGCAGAAACCCAATGGCTCGTTTCTATTGTGTAGCCTGTATTTTCAGATATTTAGTTTTGTACTAATAATCGGCTCAGCAACTGCAACAATTTGCATTTACATATAAAATATATATATAAAATATAAGTACGTTAAAGGCGTTTGGTCACAATATCCAACCTGTTCAGAGATGTTATTACACACCTCCAGAGCAGGTGGGACTTGAACCCAGGCCTCCTGATGCAGGGTTAGGGACCCTACAACTGCACCACAAGAGCTCTTAAAGAGCATCTTAAATAAAGGATGTAAGGTTGAGAAGCAGAGAGGTTTTAGGGCGGGAATCCTACAGCTTGAACTGAAGGTGCAGTCACACAGAAAATCAGGATGTACAAGAGGCCAGAATTTGAAAAAGCACAAAGACCTCAGAGAATTGAGTGACTGGAGGAGAATACAGATATGAGGGGATAAGGAGAATTGAGGGATTTGAACAGAAAGAAAAGAATTTTCAAATCAATGCATTGTGGGACTGGGAGCCAAAGAGGGAGTCAGAGAACAGAGACAGTTGACAGGTGAACAGGACTTGGTGCCAGTAAGGTGGCAGACCTTTGAACAACATCAGATTTACAGGATGTGGGCAGCTGAGTTGGAGATTATCAGAGCAGTGTGCATAAAGATAACAAAGTTAAAATGAGGGTGTTAGCAGGAGATGTGTTGAAGCTGGGCAGCGTGGAATGGATGTGGTGGTCTTAGTGGCGGGGCAGATATACGGAAACTCATTTCAGGATTAAATAAGGGCTCCTTAAAACCTACCTCTATGACCAAGCTTTTGGCCATCAGATAAACTACCTCCTTCTGTGACTGAGTTTTAAAATTTTAATTTGATTAAACTCCTGTGTAGCGCCTTGTGACGTTTAAGTACGTTAAAGGCGCTGTGTACATGTAAGTTGTTAACGATAATTTTCCGTGCATGCACCATCTATGGGATACCCTAATGCACAACGTGTTGAAAGCGGAAAAAGTGCATAAAACACGGCCAAACAATCTAAAACTCCCCCTCCCCTGTGAAATTCTGCTGTTTTCCCCATCAAGCCCACCTCGTATAGGGCGTACATTCCAATCTTCAGTTGTCATGATTGCAGTGGCCCTGGACCAGGAGACAGTGGCAGTACAAATAAACACGTGGGAAGTGGTGAGATTTAGGTCACTGCGTGGTTCGCTCAGTCCCCGCGCAACATGACAAGCAAAGTTGCCTGCGCATTCAAATACAAACCCCACATCTCCCATAGCAACAGAGAACTGTTCAGGGAACCTTTCAAATTCGAAAATGTTATTACTCTGGAATGTTGCAAATCCGATGCTTCCAGATTGCTTGGGCAAATAGGCAAATCCCGGAGCAGATAGCATGCAATTGGGAAACTTCCACAAGTTACTTTTGTATCAATATTCACCACCTCGATTACAAATGACTACTGCAAACTCTTGAACTGCTCCAATTCCGCTCCGTTACTTGCGGTCTGGGTGGTCCCGGATTTACGTCTGAGTTCTAAGTTACATACTGACTGAATTAATTCATTTCAATGGGATAAATACGTTTTAAAAACCTTTTTTGAGGGTGAAGATTTCAAAGGAAGTAAATTGAACGATTGGCGTTGTATGTAGGTGGTCCGTGTGTTAAAAAGGGAAATGGAGTGAGTGAGAGGGAGTCTGGATAGCTCAGCCAGAAGAAGCTCGGTATATTAACCTGAGGGTCTAAAGGGTTCAAACCTTGATCTAGGTGCTGCTCTGGTCTCAGTTTGTGCTAGCGGGTACATCACCCCTCGGGAGGGAGCTTCGTTCAACTCACAAAAACAGACCCTGTGAATTCTGTGGACTGCGTGTGAAACACTCATGAACAGTAAGGATTCTGGGCACGTTTTGAAAGTTGATATGGAATAAAAGGGGATAGTAATATAAAGAAGTGACCGGTTGTCTGTCATTGACAGGCGCCTGAAATAGCTAAAACAAGAAGAGGGTTGAGAGTTCGGACCAAGGAACTTGATGAAATTAGACGGAGATCGAGGGAGGAAAACAGTAGAGATATCTTGGTGACAGTATTTGGGTG